ACCGTCTTCATGCGCAGACTGCAACATGGGACGTTACCGAAATTGAAACGACCACGCGCTTGGGCGTCATGGAAGCCCTATGTGGGCAGGCGCCGAACAGCCAGGCCTTCAGATGATGCATCTCGAAATGTAATAATTTCGGCCCCCCTTCGGAATACGACAAAATCTGGACCGCATCTGACGCGCGCCTGAGGAACAAAGAAAGAGAGAGAGAGAGAGAGGCGCAGACGGAGATTAGAGATGAAAATGCACGTACCGTGGAGAGACAACGCGGGGCGTGACGGGAAACGCGCTGGCGGTTCCTTGTCGTTTATATCTACCAGTGCAAGGCTGGTTGACCGTGGTCCTGGGTAGTTCTGCTTGTTGCAGAGTTGTGTGTGGTGTGTATGGGTGGGCGTGGTCTCCAGGGGAGCAAAAGCTGCACGGAATTGAGGCTTGCTTGCGACCTGGGTGTCCTAGAACCGGTGCTGTAGAATCAGCAGCGGGGTTTGGGGAAGGCACAAGGAAGCCGTAGAAGACGACGATTGTTCTGGCTCGAAAGTGGCGTCGTGTAGCGCGAAGTCTTAGTGTTCTTGACTCCTGAACCCAACTGGAACTTGCTGCACGTTGGATGCTGGTCGAGAAAGAGCCTGTTTGGGTAGGGCAATGTGTGACGGTCTGCCAATTCTCCGGGGACGGACCAGGGAGCTGGTCGAAGGTAGTTCGCCGGGGCCGTGCGGGCAAGCCTGGGATAAGTCTGCAGGCTTTCTGTGTCCCGCTGATTGTAAGGTATCAAGCAACCGCGTCCTGAGCTGGGGGACCTGACTTGGTGGTCTATCTGTATTCCGAATTAGTTCATGCAGGCCAGCCTTGCCACGGCACCGGTGATGGCAACTTCGTCTCGCAAGGGGAACCAAAATGTACATCTGTCAGGCGGCTGTGGGATGGGATGCGGCTTGAACCTGGGAAAGCGGACGGGCCTGTACCTGTTCTTGTTCCTCTTGCTCCTGGGCAGGGGTGGTTTCGCGCTGAAGAATGGCACAAGTTGATTTATGACGCAACGTAGGCAGAGCAGACCCTAGGTAAATAACAAAGGGGTGTTAAACGCTGCTAGGAACGAGGGAAGATATGGCGAGGGAGAGGAGAGACAGGAGAAAATGCCGGATATTTAGGCACAGGCAGGGAGACTGAGGTGATTGGCAATGGGCCCCGGAGTCGACCAGGGGAAGGAAAAAAACAAATAAAAATAAAATAGGATGACTGATAACGCCAATATTCCCAAGAAGACGAAGTTCCTTCAGTGCACCACTCGGCACATTTATTAAGGAGAAGCTGGGGTGTGTGATGGGCTGCGTCTAGGGCATATCCATTGGCCGAGACAGAGTCTCTCTTGGGAAATAGTGGGCAGCGAAATCCCGGCTAAATGATGGGTGGGTAGCTGTTGGGGGAACGTGGGAACCTGCCAAAGAACAGGTCGCAGGTGTGGACGGAACGGTCCCCCGGCTCGAGGAAGACACAGAAGGACGCGAAAATAGCAGTGGTTGAAAGAAGATGTGCGTGATGTGCAAAAGTCTAGACTGAAGGCCATCTTCACCGCTCGGAAGTCGTGGAGTTGAGAGGCAACCCACAATATGCCAAAAAGGGACCAGGGAAATAGGGGACAGCGGGCCCAAGAACACAGAGTAAGGTACCATACCTAGTACCTGAGGTGGTATACCGCCAGGGCCAAGGGAAGAGTGCAGGGAGGAGAACTGACAGGTGTTCGCTCCTTCAAAGAAGGTGTGGCTGACTTACCCGTGAGGGGAGGTATCCGTACGGCAGAAATAAGATTCTTCGACAGCTTCGAATTGGTGGTTGTAAGGCCACTAATTTAGGTAGCTTCAACGTTGACACCGCCCGGGGGAGCATACACCACTATGCCCTGGTGGCTTGCGAAAGTAAGGAAGGCGTCGAGGTAGTCTGGTGGACCGTTGCCTGTCAAAAAAGAATCGCCAGTCGTTAGCAAAGAACCGAAACCCTTGCCCGCAGACGAAGACCCTAGCTTAACACCGTGGGAGGAATGGGGGACCAGGGGTGTAGATGCCAGACGGTGGACGACACCAACCTCAGGGAACCAACCACAAGGGTGTGTTTTCGAGATGCTCAGACGTCGTAGCTTTGGGCCGTGATGCTTGACTGCCGTAATAGCTTCCGCCGGGACTTGACACGACGACGTGGATTTGTATGCCCCAGGTTCGGGTACACAGCTCACGGTACCAGGTGTCGCAGCTTCAATGGCTCAACGACGAGTATCCGTATCCGTACTTGCGAGGCAATTACTCGGATAGCGGTGACGCGGGTGATTGGACGCGGTACGCGCTGTGCGATGGATGGCGGGGGGGGGAGGGGCGGGCAGAGTATCTTTCTTGATTCTTCACGGTCTTGCAGGCGGTCGTCTGCCGCGTTGTGGCGCACCGTTGTCTCTGTCTGATCGAGTTGCTATATCTGGGAGGCGGCCCGGATTGCTGGAACGCCGTGGTGACGGTGGTACGGCGCAGGCACGCGCACTGAGAAGCCAAGGTACCTTGAGGTAAGGTAGGTAGGCAAGGGGAGGACGGCAAGGCAAGGTAGGTTTGGTGTGAGGTGTGAGGTGTGCGTGTTCCTGTTAATCGGTTCGCCGCGACGCTAACAGAGTCAGGGACTGCCCCGGCTGCTGACTGGTGGTAGGTCGTGCAGGAGAACAGGCGGTTTTCGAGAATGCTCCCGGCAGATTGGATGGGATGAGATGCTGTAGAATTCGGGTGGACGACACACGAGGCACAGGGATGACCGTGGCAAGCTTTTGATCTATCTGTCGCACAACGGTCAGAATTAGCATCAAATCAAGACTCGACAGATACCGGGGCCGATGACTTGAGTTTTTGCGCAGCGAGCAACAGCGGGCGCAGTGCAGCAACGCGAAGCAAGAGACTGTGCCAAAGAAGCCAAGGGAGGATTGAGGGGGCAATATTGACCGCAATATCGGCCGAGATACGGGATATCGGGCGTGCAGTGCAATTCAGTGTCCAGTGTTTTGTGCAGTCCCATCTCCCGTCCTCGGTAGGTAAGGTCCAGTACCTTGAGGTGGTGGAGACTGGCGCGCGCAACGCCAACATGCGTTCGATTTTGCCAGCTGGAGCAGGCGTGGACAGGTAGATAGATGGATGGCTCGGCTCGTTTGGAGTTGCGACTTGCGAGAGAAACAGCGACTCACCTCGCGGAATGTGCCAGGTAAACCTGAATCGTAACCAAGGTTGCAGCCGCGCCGCGCCGCCTTTGGATTTCCTGGACCTCCTTAACGATGGGCAAGGTGTGTTTCAGTAAAGGGCGACTGGCACTCGGCTGGCCTTTCAGCTGTTTCGTCTCGAGACCAGGTGGAAGAAGGGTCAATCAGTCATTCCAGAAGTGACGGTGCCCCTGCTCGCGACGGGAGTTGTCGATGTTGCTTTGTATGAGACGGGACGACACAATATGGCGCTTCTGAGGGAGGTGGGAAACTCTGTACGGTGACTTTTTTTTCTTTCCCTCCCTTCGCCGCTTGGGTGGGATGTTTGATCTTGCCGCGATAAGCGATTGACGAGCGTGAGGTGGGAAATTCTTGTTCCTCTCTCGGTAATGGAAGCGCAAAAAGTTGCGGCTTGAACGAGGTGTCGTTGAAGTTGAAGTTGAAGTGACGTTGGTTTGTTGCAGGGAATGAACTGGGGGGTGGACGGGAAGGTCAGGGTCTGCGGTCAGGAAATGGAAGGCGCGCAAGTGCAAGTGCAAGGGCTGCTGTCCATATCCATAAATCGTGGTCGTGGTCGTCGTCGTCGTCGTGGTCGTGGTCGCGGGCGTTGGCGGGCATTGGCAGGAAAAGCGAAGGGGAGGACGTGGAGGCAAGGGTTCCAATTAGGAAGTCGTGATGGGGGTTGGAACGCGCCCGCGACCACGCCCACAGCACGTGGACACGTGCTTCTCGACCAGGGTTCATTTGAGGCAAGAAGCAATACCCAAGCAAGCAAGACAAGAAGACTTCACTTCATCTCTGAGGGAGGTGCGCTTTCCAATCTCGACTCAGGTATTCTGCTTCAAGTCAACTCGCAAAAGAGGAAAGAACCACCATCGGCATGCAGAATGCAGAAGACATGGGCCAATACGGTACTGATAAGGTACACTTCCACTTACTCGCCAGGTCGCACCTGCCCTTGCAGCAATACTCTCGGGATCGGTCCAACATGTGCATCAAAAGCTGTAAATTACAGTGTATTAAGCATCTGACGTTGGACCAAGACCATCGGTACATCATTCCGCCTTCCTCAAGGTAGGTACTGACAGCAAGTCTCGAAGGCCTCATCCAAGTGAGGGCGCACTGTGGCCATTCTCAATCTCCAACTTCACGGCCAAAGAAGAGCCGATGGCAGGAATTGCCGGCAAACTGCTACACTGCGTCGTTCCGTCGAATACATCACCAACGTAAGAAACGCCGACTGGTGACTGGTGACTGGTGACGACAGACACGCTGCCGCTATCTTACCTTCGTTAGCTTGGTCGACTGTGCCTCCTACCTACGGCCTGGCTCACAGCGCGCGGTACACTTTGGACTCATCACATTGGACCTCTCCAATCACATAACCTGTCCTACCTTACCTTACGTACCTCAGTAGGCACCTACATTGCAAACTATATTCCTACGTACTGAAGACGTGCTGGTGGCACATCCAAGTGAATGCCTGGTACAACTGCCTTCCGTCTTGCCGTCGTCACCAGCAGCTAGTCAGTGACGATTGCCACATGCGCCTCTAATGCGAGATGACCCATCGCAATCTAGGTACCTTACAGTGTAATGTCGCCACCTGCGGAGTACCCATCATCACGAAAAATACTAAAGCCAGCATCGTGGTTGCTTGTCTGGCTACGGATAATCGCGAACGCACACATGCTGAACTGCTCTGTACCACCGAACTGCTCGCAAACGGTCGACGGTTCTCCAGCGGTGGGATGCGGTGCGGCGCGGGAAGCAAGGATCACGGCACCGTCCAGTTGGGCCTTGGGTCTTGGGCCTGAGGGGGGATGCGGGCAGCGGCACGCACCAGGGCAAGGTCGGAACCGCCAGGGGCAGAGATGCTGGATGCTGGACGGGGAGGGAAGGCCTGGGATTTAGGAGGCCGCGGGAAGCCAAGGGCCACGGGAGACGGGAGACGGGAGACGGCGCAAAGGCGAAGACGGTCAAGGGAGAGACCGGGGGTTGCTGCTGGGTTTGTCGTCCACGGGCAGAGAATCCAGGTCACCACCAAGCTGCTTGCTGTGAGTCGACTGTCGTAGTCGTGACCCAGCTGCCAGCCTCCTGGCCCTGCCATGCGCGCCAGTCGGGAAGCCCAGGGCCAGTTACGGGGGTTGAGCTCGTCGGGGCCACAGACACCGTTAGGTTCCTTGTTCTGCTAGACAAGTCTGGTTAGAACAACTTTGGTCTGCAGCCTGCCCTGCCAGATGAACGGCACCTCTTCCACGCAACCCTGCCGTCGGTAGCTTGTGTGTGTCGTCCCAAGCCACCTGTGGACCTAACATCGACATCAAACTACTGCATGGTACTGAAGTACTCAGGCTGTGCTCGTCGACGTACTCTTGATGGCAGGTTCTTCCCCTCGTGCGTCAGGACTGGCTTATCGATCTTCTGTCAAGGCAGCAATCAAGGCAAAATCGTTGACGACGAGCTGAAAAGAGCTCAAAAGACGGGACGAGCTAAATACTCTTTTTGGCCATGGTTGCTTCCTTTTCTTTTTCTTTTTCTGCGCCTCGTGCTTCTTTTTCCACTGACCCGCTGGCCGAGGGTCTCCGGAACAAGGACTAGGTCGTGGTGCAGGTCCAACGGTTCGTGAGCCGGTTCGAAAACTGACAGGAGGCGGCGGGGCGAGCTAACGTATCTCGTTCACTGCAGCTCTGGGAAAAAGCCTAGGGACCAAGTACTTCTTACCCTCGTACCAACTCGAAGTAGGCAGCTTGTGGAATTGGAAGGGAGCAAAGTCGCAAACACCAAATGGCTGGTCTGCATAGCTCTCCTAAGTCCTGACTGGCGACAGCAAACATGACCCGCACGCGATGCCGTAACATTTCCCTCGCCACGGGAATCGCCGAGATGTCTCGCACTCCGTACAAAACCGTAATGCATTGCCCATAGCCACCTCGATTTGCTGGTTGGCACAGGCACCTTGACCAACGCCAAGGCGCGACGTCAATTCATAGACATTGTGAACGAGGTTGGCCGAGCTTCGCTTTGAATGTTCCTGATCCATCCGCCAAGAGGAATTCGTCAAGCGGGAAAGCGCTAACGGTCGTGACCCAAAACGAGTCTAGGCAAAACGAAACGCCAGTGTATTCAAAGTTAGTCGAGGGGCGGCGTATCCGTGAAGTCGTCGAAAATCGGATTATGCAAGTCCACGCAGTCTTGGGACCATCGCGTTGCCGACTGTCGCGTCGACCACAGACACGGCACTTTGAAAGTGAGGGTGCCTGAGGTTGCATCGGTCGTACTCTCAATTCGGCTCAAGTCTGTTTCTCGAAGCTGTGGGCGAGTCGTGGGACGCGGGAAAGGTTGCATTTTGGGTAAGGAGCGGCTCCCACGCCCACTTGTGTTGGGGGCCATCATCAAACGGGACATACTCCCCGTGCGTAAAGTCCATAGTCCGCTGATCGTCCGCAGACTCAACTCCAGACCGCCGGCGAGATTGGACATACGCAATGCCGGCTGCCATTTGATTTTGGGCGGGAACCTAATCACGGCCATGCAGCTGTAGCCGTGCCTGTGCCATGGAGTCATCGAACTAGCAGATTCTGGTTCTTAGGCGAAAGCCAAAGTCGTCCAAGCTTGTTTTGCCGCCGCCGCCGCCGCCATCAGTGTTGTCATTCCGTTCGACACGGCCAGTCTGCCTTGGGCTAAGCCAGCAGTGAATTGTGATGAATGGTCCTGACGCTTGAAGGCGTTGGTATCTGCATGTCTCTCGCCTAGGGGTTTGATATTGGCGCTGTGTACCGTAGGTGGCTGAAAACGAAGATATCCCGAGACGAGGGGGACGTCGCGCCGGCGACGAAGACATACGCTCTCCAGCCACGTCGATTTGCTGCGGACGGCGCCATCGAGGAGTTCGCTGCCACACGTGCGCCAGTGATATCGTCTGTTCGTAATGATTCGTGATTGGCCGTGTGCGAAAAGTGTGTGTATCACCATCCATCCCTTTGGACAAGAACTGATGAAGATGGTCTCGTAATCGAGATGCCGCGGTGCGGTTGTTGATTGCATCGAGAGATACGTACGCTGGGTCGCCTCCGGAGCTGGGGTTATTCAGCCCAATCAACCCCAAAAGGTTGCTTCCTGCGCCATGCATATTCTTGCGCACTATTATCCCTAGCACGGAGAGAGGCTATTTTTAATCCTCCCGAGTGGCCGAGCAACTAGTACGACGCTGGCAGTGAGCGGCAAAAGAGAAGATTGCACCTTTCCCCTCCAGGTTTCTCTTCGTATCCAAAGCTGTAAAGAAAAAAAAAAGAAACGACGAGAGATCTGGTTTGATGTGTTGGGAAATGTCGCAGGCGTGCCGCGCCGCGGAAGTCGTCCGGTTCAGCACGAGGAAACTTGGAATGAGGAGGAACGGGATGGCATTATACGCTAGGGACTGCGTGAGAGCGAGAGCGAGTCGCAAACGTCACATTCTCGTCTTCTGTTGCTGGTGTATCCGTATGTACGAGGAGGTGACGGACCTGGGTCCTCGCAAGACTTGAAGCGTCGTCATTGGTGCTTTTTTGCGACCGAGCTTGGGCTCAGACGGAGACTTTCCTTCTTGTGCCCGCCACTTCTGTCGCACGAAAGCATCGTTCGTAGTAGGGGCGTAATCGTCCGAAACGCAACTGAATGATTGACTGTGACGTGATCCGACCGACTGCTGAGCGGTATTCGAAGAAGAAGTTGAGACGTGCCCAGAGGTACTGATGTTGTAAAGGAAGTAACCGGCGAACCGCACTCTCCATGCGCCTTCCACCCGACTGCGCTTAATCAGGAAAGGTACGTACCCAAGGCAGCACCACATCAAATTGAAGTGGCCCTGTGTGCCTGCTTACATAATCGGCTCTCGTTAAGTGCCTAGGCAGCGACGTGAGGTTGGGGAGGCTCGCAGTGTTTTTGATATCGACCTTCCTACCTAACCTTAGGTACTCTCAACATCTTTGTCGACAAGATCCAGATCCCTTCGAATGTTGAACTTTGTCAACCGCCCCCGGAATAGAGTCGTCCTTGTGTCGGGGTCCTTGGAATGGTGTTGAAGGATTAGTCGACCGCCACTTTTCAACGGATGCTAGATGTGAACATCAAGAATCCAAGAGCAATGACGACAATGCCTCTGCAACACCACTTGGACGTGTTCCCTGCAGTTTTCCGCATACCTTACAGTTGAACAGGGTCCTGCCCTCAGAACAGACATGGCCTATTTCTTGGGCAAATCGTATTGTGCTGTTTCGATACCTCCCTATCAAGTCTGGGTGGCCTCCGCGACGGAACACTCACCCGTAATTGATTCCTTTATTGATACGCCTGCGACTGACGCCGCTGTATCCCACTCGCTTCAGACTCGTTACAAAGAGGCCTGAGCCTCAAGTTGATGGTCTCAGCTCGGAAATCAACTTGGATACAACCGAGTATGCTGGTATTTGGTACGCTTAACTTGCCTTGCAATTTCCTCACTAACTCGCCAATGAACGCCACGACGTCTCTGAACATCATCCCTTGGACAAACAGTCGGTCTGGGGTTACCTACACCAGCGCTGGCGCCCTGGCCGTCACTGCAGAACGGCTGCATGGCGCGAAACCATTTTCGCCACCGCGGCTACACCAAGCCCTAGGATTCTTGCGAGTGGGTAGCAGGGGGTCCACGTCGTGGTGTGGATAGCCTGGGATGTGGGCGTGGCTGCCGCGGGTGGGCGTCGTCCGGCATGGGCTATCCGTTTTGACGGTGATGAGGGCGCACTGGGCTACACCCGACTAGGCCAAGCAAGGCCAGGGTTCTCCAACTCATGGACAGCCCAAAGAAACCTGGCAGACCCCGCGAAGCTTGAACAAACGGGTCTCACCTGTCAGGACGAACTGCTTCTTCCCTTGACAATTGAGCTAAAACACACGACCATCATCACGAGAATGCCATCGCTGTGGCCAGGATTTAGCACGTCTGGAACCTTTGCGAGCGCCTCGATAGCGTTGACGACCTTTAGCTTCACTGATTTTGAGAAAGACGCCCTGACGAGTATCCGTTCCCGAGGCTCAGGCCTTGCTCTGCAAATACGCTGTATTAGGGGACCCATCGTCAAACGTTCTCCCGGACTTCATCTCCCGCCTAGAGGGCTGGTGTGTATCGGTACTATTACACGCATTCTTGTTCGGGGCGAGAACAATCGGAACGAAATTTCGGCCTTGACAATGTCGCCAGTGCAATTTCACCTGTCTACAAGTTTACGGCAACGCCGTAACGATAAACATTACAGGAAGCAAGGCGACACCACTAGCGGCGCGAGCGGGCGTTCGGATTGCTACGCAATGCTTTTGCAGTTACAGTATCCGTATTTTCAAGCGTTCAAACCCCACAACGGCAGAGCAATTGTGAGGCCTGGCGGCGGCCCCCTGCCATACCGACCTGGCGAATACTTGCTTCGATGACAACTTTGTCGAGACTCCAATATGCACGCTTTCGATACGTAATTGGAGATTCCCTTCCTACCAGTGGCTAAAGGCACTAACGGCCTACAACGGTTTCTGTGACGCCAATTCTGCCACACCTTGGTTGCCAGACATGCGACAGTTCCACCAGTCCACGCCATTATCGGCGGTCAGTCCGGCTAGCAAGTATTGCCCCATGCGGTATCGTCGAGTTAGAGACAAGCCAAACCACGATGCGGCGCTGCTGAAATACTGGCCTTTCACACACCGCACACGATTCACTGGATAGGAGTTCAGCCGGTCGACGTGTTGACTGGGATTCGCCGGATCTATCTGTCGGTAAAGAACAACCATGACTTCTGTGGTCCTCGATCCCATTTCGCCTTGGTGGACCTATCCTTACTGCATGCTCGGAAACTTCGAGAGGTGCAGTATGTATGTCAGTGCGCGCGCATTGCAGACGCAGCAGGTTGCTTGCCAGGGGTTTGTTAAGAGCAGGGGGGCGGAGACGATTGACTGCCCTTGTCCCGCTCCATCCACATCAGCTCTCTACTGCATAGTAGCTGCGCGCATTAACACGGTCAGCATCAAAAAGGCGACGAGGGTATTTTCACTGTAAGCTACTCCAGCGCCGTTGCGATCCTCATCCAATGGGGGCTAATATGTATTGTATAATGCTACCTGCGCGTCAGGAGAATATGTGCCCAGCAAAGCAGGTAACATCATTTGTGTTTTTTCTCGGCATCAGCCAACCCTTGATTCTTACGCCTAGAGTTCGGGATGCGATTTTGACTTCACCGATACTAAATACAGTAGTCAACCTGAGTGTGTTCTATACAAGGTCACAACGCTTTTCTGCCTTCACTGTTCTTGCCAAGTGTAACGTACGATTACTTGTCTTGGGCGTTGAAAAGCACTTGTCGTATGGAGTGATACAAGCGAACACCCTCGCTTCAGCCTTACGGAGCTCCCTCCGAAGCCGGTTCGATAGCGGCCAGGTTCGACTCGGTTTGAGCAAAAATGACGCTCAACCCTGGTTCAGATCTCCCCAAAGCCCACTGCAAAAACTGACAGTGTCACCCCCCTCCCCTGGGCCCTGCTGGTCAGCCATGGTATCCGTAAAGTCTTACTGATCGCCATTTGCTCGGCCAGGTCTTGTCAGCTGGGTTGCTGGGACGCTTGATCCCGCATATCAACTATCAAGCATGACACTCCCACAAGGATTGCCACTCTCTGGCGCGATTTGCTGCAACGACCATTTCTATGACCGACAATTGTTCAGGAAGAACATGACATACACTTCTTTGCTCTAGGGACAAATGCCCATTGGGTTGCAAGATCAGGGCTTCTAGGTCATTTCTCATTATGCTAACAAGCCAGATGCGACGGGATTTAGCAGAAGGCTTCATCTCCGCGTGAATGGTCCATGTCAAAAGGGCTCGACATGTAGCAATAAGCGGATATGACTTGGCCGTATGTGGTTCATTGCCTACAATCGTTTGCTTTTCCCTTGAGTGAAAAGTCTGACCGCAGACTCCATCTCAACTTGAGTGGTTGATCTACAAGGGCATCAGGAAAGATCGTACGATCAAGGACATTCTAGGTCCGACATCCGTCTTAGCAATTGGAGTTCGTTGTTCGTTGTTCGTGACTGACGAGGCATTTGGTTACCCGTCAGCCCGGCGTTTGTCGAGAAGAATATACACTTGTGATCATCGAATGTATCGTCTCCTACCTTGATCAGCTATCTGACACTTAGTATCACCCGGCGAACGTCCGGGGGGGCTTTGATCAGAAAGGTCGTGTCTCGGTTGCGTTTCCTTCCTCAAGCGCTGCTGATATGGCACATCGGTCGGTCTGGTCCAAATCGGCTTACAAACGATGACTCTCATTCCCAGACCGCGTGACATATTACGGACGTTGCTAGGTGGCGGCGACATGACTGACGTTTAAGACATCGGAGCCGTTTGTGGGGCGGCGACTAACCGAGCATTCCAGGTCTTTTTGGAAAAGGTCTACCTATTTATCCGCCTGTCTCGTCTTTCACGGTTGGCTCTCCCGCTTCAAACGCAGAGCTTGATGCATAGCGCGCGCACTTCGGTGTCTTTTTTGACCTTGTAGGTCACCGTCACATCACATTCTTAGCACTCAGACGAACGTGTCTCAGGCTGGACGTTCATAGTTGATTCGTTCAAGTCTGCTCACCGCTAGGATTACGACACTTCTCCGCTGCAATCTCAAGGTCTCCTATGATGAGTTTGATATCGTGATAGGCCTGCTGCGCTGATGTCTCATTGACAGGACCAAGCTGCATAGCCAGAGCTGCGAAGGCTTGAGTTTGCTTCGTGTATTCGCATGCTGGGGCTTGCATAAGAGCGCTTGTGCATACTCGGTATGTAGCTTCGAGCGCAATATGCGGCTTGCGTACAGTGCTGCGATATCTGCAAGTACGATCTTCCTCATAGGTACACGTTGGGCACCGAGAAACGACGGAGGCCGCCTTCGGTCTGATGATAGGCTCTCCGGAAATTCTAGCGTGTCACCCTTCGGGAATGATTTGAACATCGACAAGATGATCTGCAATGGGCCTGTGATGTCCGCATGAGTTCTAAATCACCATCCTTGAGACACACCAGTTGATTTCATGGCAAGTGATGGTCTAACGAATGTTCCCACTCTCTTGTCCATAGACTTGTAAAATTAGTCGGAGATGATCCGGCAAGTCATATGACAATGAAAGGCAACAAATAGCCCTCAAGCAATCTTCGCCGATGTTGAAAGCGGCTGGGAAGCAAACCATAGACCGGACGCCAAGAAGCCCGAAGGCAATCAATCTTTCGGAGCAGACACTCGATCTCGAGTTCCGATAGACATGAATGGACCTCTGAGTGGAGATCTCGCCGACGGTTTCGAGGCACTAACGTAATTATCTCCTGACAAGGTGAAATCGATTGATTAGAGACGCTCGCTTCGGGTCTAGATGGGTACCTGTTGATACGCCCAGTTCACCTGGTAGGTACTCAGATTCTGCATCGTCTACCGATTTCCTAGGATCGCACCCGCTTTCTGAGGTTCCGAGCGCCAGACCTTCGGCCTTCCCGCGAGTATGTGTTTCAAGAACGGCATAGAGTAGTTAGGCACGGAATGCCCAACTTCATCTACAAAGAGCGAATTCACAGGCTGAATCCAGGCCGCAACGAAGTTATGTTGAAGTTGATGGCCGATAGACAGCTTAAGCTTGTTCTGCACAAGTGGAGAGGCGCGCCACCGCAGACCTGGTTCGCGCGTCGTCCGTCCTCCGTCAAGGGCCCTGGCAGTCCCGGGTAGGTGGGAACATGAATTCCCAGTCTCCATCGCCCACTGAAGCCCGTCGTGATCCGCCGCCCAGGGGCCGATTCCTCTGGCGCGTTCAAGCACATGGAAGCGCGATTGCCCAAAGAGGATTAGAGAGACGAGGAAATGAGTTGAGAGTCCTGGAAACACCACTGAGCTCCCCCTGCATGATGCAGTGGTATTGGTGACAGGCATCATTCCACTATATTTAGGCATGCGGGCACCGGGGATGAGCTGCGAGGGGTCTTGGCATGGATATCCATGCCGGACCGGGCCTGGGATTCAAGAAGCCCAGCTCCTTTTTCGCTGCGCGTTTCCTGCGAGCATGGCCTTGTTCTTCTCCACGTGGGGGTTGCGTTTTGATAGTGCAGAATCGCGCTCTGCTGGCCAAGACGTTTCTTCTCACCAATCTGCTGCCGGGCTGGCCTCCGGCGCTGCTGCTTTTGGCAGAGGGTGTGGTGCGCCAATTCCGGGAGGAGGGTTCATTGGGGGTGGGTATTCGTGCCGCGGTATATGAAAGGCTTGATATTGAAACCCTTGGTGGGCAGAATACCCTTTGCGTGGATTCACCGTTGCGTAATGTCACGTCGAACGGGCTGACACTTTTGCAGGACGATGTTACGTGTGAAGAACGAGGAGAAACCTTGTTCTCGAGATAGAAGATGAGGAATCAGGACTGGAGAAAGAGAGTGGACATGAAATGACAAGGGGCCTTTGGGCCGTTGGGTTTCGATGACATGGGAGCGCGGTTGTGGTTCTTGAGTGGAGCGACGCGTCTTCGAGGCCAGGACGCGTCAAGATTCAGGCCGGGGTATGTGGGATGCCCACGATGATGAGTGACCGTTCGTCTTGGTTTCTTGAGCGAATAGGTAGGACTTTGTGGTATGTGGCTATCACATAGGATATCTCGTAGTCTTGGTGTGATTTTGTATGCCAAGGAACTGACTGTTGTGAAGGCTTGGTGGCTGTAGCCCAGTTGTTGGAAGGCCGAGTAGACTTCTTTTTAGTTACGCGCCAACAATCTAGACACCTTGACTGCAGAGCCATTGATTTATTTAGTCTTGTTCCCGAGCGTGTACCGGACCGCAGCTGGAAAATGTACTGTGAGAGGCCCGTCGAATGGATCCAGCAAGACGAATGAGTGCGCCTTGGGCATCGATGATTTCGTCGCTATTCACAATAAGTGGCAGCTGTACGGAGATGGTTTACTTGCTTTCAGCCAAAAAGCTCATGAGGCGTTTCATATGCGCCGTGAGTGCACGATCAGTGATTGTCTGTTCGGAGAGAAGATGTTCCTACTGGTAGAATTAGGGTTCAACTACCGGCGGTGTTGAGGTAATTGCGAGTTCATACACCGATCCAGAAAACCAATGTGACGGTATATGGCCTGCCACAGTTGAGGAGAACGTGAACAATTCTGAAGAATCAACGAGTTATCGTTCCATTACTGAAGACGTCACTGGCTGAATCCAACAAAGGGTTGAAGTTGGGTGGGCACACAAATGCTTTATACCATACTCGATAGAATGCGATGCGCATGATATAGACCGCCAGAGTACTCGACTCGTGGTCAGAAACTTACAAGTTCATGTTCATCTCCCAAGAGAGGCGTAGACCAGTCTTGGAGAGGTCAGAGTCTCGTCTACAGCGTTGTTGACCCGGTTTTGGCAGTGTCGAAGAGTATAAATTCTCTTCGGAATGCACTTTTAGGTCGGATAGGGTTGACAACCAACCTCGAAACTGGAAAAACATTCATCTTCAACTCTTAACAATGATCAAAGTGATCAAAGGTTAACAAACTGTTCTCAATCAAGAGGACCTCTATATCAAGAACGCACAAGTAGCAAGAACAACAGCAGTAGCACCGCATACAACGATAGTAGAAACCTCGAACTAAATATGAGGGATAGAGAGACATATAATGAGCATATGCCCGTATAAGTAAGACAACATAAAGCATTGCAAATGTTGCAAGACTTCTCCCCAAAAATATGAATCAAACGTAGTTGAGCAACGTCGTGCTATGTTCAGAGGCTCCGGTCCATTGGGCAAAGTCCAGAGCCAGATATCAATCCATGCCAAAGCGTTATGCGGGTGGGCAGTATGAACCAGGAACCAGATTGATCCAGGAAAGGTATGTAGTAACAACTCTGTTCAACTAAATAATAGGACTGCCCTTGATGTGGCAACATCATCTTCAAGTGTTACGCCCCAAGTCATAACCTGTGGCCCTTCAAAAGACGAATTCCAACGAATGACCACAAAGACTTAATCATGAAGACAGCTTGATGTTATTTACATCAAAGCACAAGTTCGTCCACCCCTTCAGTAGACATAGACAAAAGAGCAACCGCGCAAGATAAACCCTCTTCTGATCTCCTGACCCAGGCATCTTTAGGTAATCGCAACCTATTCTTCATCGAACTGGCAGTGACTGTAGCCACTCCTGCCTCGGGGTCTTTTAGGCCTTCCAGTCTTGAGGAATCTTGTTGGAGTCACGGCCGACCAAATCTGGGTCAAGCGGGTTCAAGGGGTAATGCACACCCGTTACGGTGGTCGTTGCGACTTGAGTGACTGTGACGGTCTGCGGAGCAGCGGTCACGGTAGTCGCGTCTTTGCAGGGCGTGACAATGGGAGTCGTGCTAGGGGAAGCTGTCTCCGTAGGATCTGCAATGGTAGGCGCCGCGTCAATCGAAGTCGTGCTGGTGCCAGTAGGAACTGGGGTTTCACTAGAAGGGGCCACGACAGAGGTTGCCTGGGAGGTCGTCTCTGAGGTCGTCTCTGAGGTCGTCTCGGTGGTCGTCTCGGTGGTCGTCTCGGTGGTCGTCTCGGTGGTCGTCTCGGTGGTCGTCTCGGTGGTCACCGGCGATGTAGTCTCTGTTGCTGCAGAAGAGGTCATCGTAGGTCCGGCCGTCGACGTACAAGTTGAGGCTATAAGCAGGAAAGTCAGCGTTGGACTCAGAACAAGAGATGGTGAGGCCTTACTGGTCAAAGTCGTGGCGCTGGTCTGGGACACGACGGGAGCGTCTGGCCCATTCAAGCCTAGACACTCGCAGACACACTTCTCGGTGGCGCATAGGAAACGACAGTACATCCACCGGGCTTTGCGATAATGCCAGAGGGATGGGAATCGTCTTCTCATCTCAGGCTCATCGGGACGCCGTCCAGCCGCAACTCTATCATTGAAGAATTTCCAGGCTTCACTGAAGATGACGGGCAGAATTTGGGAAGGCTTTCTCGCGCCAGGCTCCTCGCGATTGCCATTGGGCGAAGGAGTCTCGGATGCTGTGGCCCAAGGCTTCACGATGACCTTGGTCAATGTTGGGTTTGACGACGGCAAGGCGGCGGGGGCATGGTGGAATGCCCCGTCGGGAGACGTGATCTCGGCACCATCAATGATCTCGCCAGCGGACTGGTCCAGATCCGGAGCAGAAGCAGAAGCTGCGAGACCATTCGCGAACACGGCGAGAACGCCAACGATGGCGAGGCTCTTCATGTTGGGTAGGGATGAATCGATCGTAACGACAGTAAAAGTGACGATAAGAAGTATCTACAGAAGGGGGAGAGAAAGACACAGACAGAACCAAACCAGCATCCTGCTTATTTATCCCCCTCTCTTGCTCTCTTTGGTAGGGTTCTTGAGCATCCGGCGTGTATCAACAGGCCCTGCCCCAACGCTTCTCCCTTGACCCTGATGGCTTGCTTATAAGCCACTGATCTGAGATGGCCATGATTCCATGAGAGAGGAGTCTCGAAGTTACTTTGGAGAAGAACTTGAAAACAAAGATCGATGACACCCCTGAAAGTAAAATTTGTTGAGGTGGCTTTCCGGCTTGTCAGTTTCCAACTAGGATCGTGGATCAGTCCAACAATGTGTACTTCAACAACAGTATGTGATGCTCAAGGTAACGAACGCCAGAAGGTGTGGCCACCTGCCGCTGAGGATTCTCTTCATGCTTCTAGAGCCGTGGGGATACGAAAAAAGATGGCAAACTTGAGCAGTTGAGTCGATAGTAGCGGGGAAATTATACGTTCGGTATGCTCCAAAACTTACGCCTCCATACCTTGATGAAGCGGCCTACCTAGTTCAGCGATGCCAGCCACTCACGTCTGAAGCGTCTACAAAAAGGTAATGGGCGAAATGATGTCTCTATCAAGGCCAAAAAACATACAACACCAGGTATTCGCTGGTCGTCACCGACCCAACTACTAATCCGGCCCTCACTGGCTTATCTATGGGAGAGCGGACGGGATCCCGAGTTCTCCAGTGGGTATGGTCGTATGTGGTAGTTTTCGGAGTGTTGAATGACTATAGAGGGTGGGAAAAAGAATCGGTGACGTTGACTTCCCTCCAAAGAAGTGTTCCTCAAAACCAGCCGACAGATACTCGACTTCAATCCGCAGGATCAACTTGAGAGAGACCCAACAGACGAAGGTTTCTCATTGCTGCAAAACAATCAAGTGAAATCTCCGTAACTGGATACAAAAACTACCTAGATAATCTTTACCCGCGATACCCCCAGTTGACATTATACTTCGTCATGGCAGCAGACGAGAACATGCTTCGAAGTCAATTTTTTGACGTTCGGCTCCATCGCCTAGATCGAACTAAGGCGTTATGGCGTTCGCACCGAAGGCAAACCAGTTCAGCTGAAATCACTCACGGGACCAACTTCTGCGGAGAACAGCTCAGTTCCACGCGCATCGAGCGGTTCATCCGGTCTTGCAGCCATACTTTTCGAGGTTTCTTTTTTTCTTAATTATATGTCGCCTAAATCGCTACTAATATTTTCCCTCGCCTTGTTGTATAAATATCTCACATACTCCGCCGTGTACAAGTGCAAAAGACAGAAAAAAGCACGCTTCTTGCTTCATGAAACTCCACATCAAATGCTTGCTGGTGCTGAACAGACCAAATCTCCAGGCTTGTGCGTATCATTCATCATGAGAGTATCGTTGAGTTTCGATCCTTATCCCTCAATGGCTAATTGGTCGCGATCGCGGTCCCTGTGATGACGATGAGAGTGGTAGTCGTCGCGGCGCCTGGTATCGTCATCATTGTCATCGTCTCGTCGATGTCTGCGGTGACGATCCCGGTCGCGTTCCTCGTCATACCTATCATCATCTCCATCATCTCTCTTGTGGTGTCGGTAGTGTCGCCGTCTGTCTTCATCATCGGCGTCCCGTCCGCGGTCGTAGTCCCGATCCCGATCACGGTCACGGTCACGATCACCGCGGTCTTTTCCGGCCTCTTCGCATCTCCGCTCTGTCTCTTTATTAGTATCCTGAATGTGAGAACTGGGTGGCGTGAAAGTACCTCTTAACACCTGCGTGGCAGCAGCATATGCCTGAATTTCCTCCTTACTGAGGACTCGAAGAACGATAACAAAGTCGTCGCGAACTTCGAACCGTTCCTTGCCAACGGTTAAAGCTTCCGGGTTGACGACTTTGCGGCTGATCTTGGTCCAGCGGGCACCAGGAGGGACCTCCTTCAGTTTCTTGTCGTCCTTGTGAGGAGCCACACCCTCTCGAATGGGGTTGTCTTCCTCGGGAAACCTGCTGGGCGCCTTCAGGATGCCTTTGAGGGGCTTCGCGTCGGATTTATCACGAGGCGGCGACACTACGCGAACCTGCTTCTCCTCACCGTGGGTTGGTGTTATGTCACGCCCGCGGGGTTCATCTCTTGTTGACACGATGGCCGAATCAGTTGAAGGCATCGAGACGGGGGATTCTCTCTTCGGCAGCGACTCTTTCTTCGGTGAAGGGTCGCGCTCCTTGGTGTCTCTTATCGGGAGATCGGCGTAAGTTTGCCCCCCAGAACGATCCTCTCTGTCAAATCGCTCCGATCTGTCGTATCTTTCTTCATATCTCTCTGAGCGTTCCGGACGTTCCGAACGATCTGACCTCTCGACAGGGACCGGCACCTTCTCCTTTTTATCGTCCTTCATAGCGGCCAACTGTTCCTTCAACTCTCGAATGTCATTCGTGTTAGTCGGGTTGAAGCCGATGGATTGACGAGCGGGTCGTTTCGTCTTCTTGGTCTCATCGTCAGGAGAGCCGTCACGTTGCGAGGAGGGTTCGCTGTCGCCGACAAGTCGAGCTTCGGCATCCCGGCGATTCCGGTCACGATCTCTCTCTCGATCCCGCTCACGTTCACGCTCACGCTCTCTCTCTCTCACGTCCGCGTCCGGGTCGGCTTGTGACCTACGTGTCTCGACGATGACAGGCGCGCGGTCTCTTGGGTCTCTGGACTCATCCCTGGCCTTGTGTCTTTCACCAGAACGAGCTTCCGGTTCCTCATCATCGCCGCGACGCCGCGATTCTCTCTCAAGCTTTTCGGGTCTTTCATGCTTGTCATCTTTCTCGTTCACAGCCTGCCCCAGACCGATTGCCGTTGCAGCAAGTCCAAGACCAGCGCTGACCTTGTCGCGGAACCGTTTTCGCTCACCATCGTCTTCGTTTGCCGTGCTGGTGCGCCGTACGTGTCTCTCTTTCTCAGGCTCAAGTCGTGCAGACTCACGCTTTGAACGGGACTCATCGTCCGAGCCTCTCTTCGTGTCAGGAGGTGACGTTCGGTGTCCGCTACGAGACTCTGGACGATGTCCACTTCGAGATTCGGGTCGATATCCAGTGCGAGAGTCAGGGCGGTATCCGTTACGGGAATCGGATCGAACATCACGCCATGGGTCTCTGCGGTCATCAAAGTCGCCGCCCACCGGAGCCGAATCTGTGCGGATTCCGAAGCCGCGTGATGTCACTGCATCATCGTGAAAGTAGTCGCCACTACCGTAGATAGGATCGTACTTGCGATCCTCTCGAACTTGTCTCTGAGCACGATCATCCTCGCGGCTGCGATAGTACTCCTCGTGATGGCTCGACCGTGGAGCAGCACCATCATTGTATACAGATACAGGGCGTCGGGACGAGGAGGCACCGGCTATGGTCCCGGCCGGAACAGAGGTGGCGGCCACATCCAGAGACGAGGGGACGCCCGCAGAACGTCGATCTTTGGGACTGGGAGGAACTGCCATATGGGACGGTGCAGCAGGCACGGCTGGGGGGATCGAGCCCAGGCTCGGGTCGTAGACGCTGGGAGTTGACCTGTTGATCTTGTCCAAACCCCGAGTGGTGGGAGGCGGGCCACCACGTCGACCACTCTCGTTATAAGGACGACTGGCAGGGTCCGTGGTGGTCACGTTGACGCTGGGCCGGTAGTAGCCACGGTCAATGCTCTCTCGTCTGCGAGTCCTTGAGGGCGGTCGAGAGTGGTCCAAATCGTAGCGAGCGAGGTCGCTGGGCGTGGTGTATTCGTACCCATCCGTTGCCCCGTAATCAATCGGGGCATTGCCATGGCGGGGGATATTGGCGTACGTAGACGATCTGGTCGGACGGTACGTGTCGTGTCTAGGATCCGTAGTTCGTTCGCGCAGACGGGTGAACTCCTCGTTATCCATTGTTGCGCTGTAAGAACCGCCGCGGTGGTGGCTACGTGAACGTATGGAAGATGCGGGTTGAGTGTAAAACGACGTATCGCTGGATCGGTAGTCGTCGCGAGTCGGGCTGGAATGTCTGTTACTCGAAGAGTGATGCGACGAGTTATTCTGTGGTGTTCTCGTCGTCGTGGTAACAATGACAGGTCGAGGGGCTGTCGAATCAAGGGTTGAAGAGCGGTGATTTCTGCTCATGTCTCTCAAACTCGCCCCGCGAGCTAGAGGATCGTTCTTGGTGACGGCATAAGTGGTGGTAGTCGTCGGGTTTGTAGTTGAGTGAGAGTGGTGATGGCCTCTTGACGACGTTGACCCAGTTGATGTGTATCTCGAAGACGTGGGCATGACATGAATGTCACCCCCATACATCGAGCTGTAGCCGATGCTTGTGGGCAAAGAAGCCCTCGCCGGATTGTAAGTCGGCGATCGCGGACGAGTGCCGGTGTAGCGCGAGGAAGAGTAGCGGGGATCCATTGCGATGTGCTGGCAATGACTTGTCAGCGCTACCAGACGGACTATGATCTAATCGTTGCCTTAACACTTGTCGGTGAGATCACGTCTCGTGGAAAGGTGCAGGTTTTCGGAGAGATCGGTAGCCTCGAGGCGGCGCCACGAGGAAGAAAGCCAAGATGGCGACTAGGATGGGTTGGACGCCGAGTATTAAAATGCGATGATGCTGAACGGACGTAGCGGGAAGACGCTCAGCGAATCCACGTGAGGATTCCGCCCTAAATTTCTGTCTTTTTTTTTCTCGCTTTGACGCGGAGGTGCTTTGGCGTTTTTGGCTTTTTGACGCCTGTTACTCCTTCGGGGGTTGTGATGTCTCACTTCTTCGCTGGGATTTCGGGCAGACAATGGGACGAAGTCTTGTTCTTTTCGTCCTTTTTTTTTCGGAGGGAGACAAAGAGAGAGAGAGGAAGAAGAGGGGCAAGGTTGGGATGCCCACCTCACCGAAATGGAGTCGGGTGTGGTGTGGGTTCTTGGGTGGCAGAGGATGGCGGGGTTCTTCCTCAGCTTAGTTAAATTCAGTGCTTTCTGTTCGTCCAGACTGAAGTTGGAGTCTTGGGAACCCCGGTCGGATCCAGCGCTGGGCTGGGTGACTGGGTCAGGTCGGGTTCCGGTCAGGTCAGGCCAGCAAGCAAGACCACGTCGGGCTGGGTTGGGTGGACGGTCGTCGGATCGCCGTGGAAGAGGTGGAATTCTCTACTGCATGCACCTGCAGCGCCGTGTAAAAGAGGGGCGAGTCAGCTTCCTAACAAAAACCTAGAGTGAACAATGGTTGATGGGCATGGGCGCAAAAATAGGACGATTCGAATCCATGCATATTCGTGATGCCGCGGTTCCATACAGAATGGATGCCGAGCCGAATATGGGAGATGTGCGCATCGAATGTGTGTAGAAGGTAGATGAGGGAGACTCGGGAAAACGCGTGGTATGAAGGCAATGCTCACCAGATATCGGAGGACGAAAATAACGTCACTGAGGCACCTGACAGGGCACACAGAATCAAAGTACGTACAAGACGAGGGGCGAAAATTGGGCGACAATATTGAGAGCTGCAACGTCGATTATTTCGGGAGGGCGATTATCCTGGACGCAATGACGGAGGGAGAAGCGAAGTGATCCCTGTCGACACAGTAGTAAGGATCGCGGGGGGTTGCTTTGATGATGGTGATGGTCCGGGGACAAGTCGAGTCCGTGTAGGTACATAAGAATGTTCGTAAGGCGGAACGGAAGAGATGTCAGAAACGGAGGCAATCAATAACGAGGCGATATGACTGGTCGGTTGCCTGAAGGGAGAGTCTGTGTCTGTGTCTAAGTGTGTTCGGGCTGTCGCCCTTGCGCGTGTGTCGTTCGGTCGGTGCTAGGTACGTCAAGGAACGTCGTCAGGCCGTTGGTACCGGTACGGTACGGTACGGAAGCTGGCGAGGCGCCGCGAAACCAAGCACTTGGTTGATAAGGCCAAGAATGCTGCTGGTTGGACGAGATGTCTTAGTCGACAGAACCTATGTTCCTCCAGTCTTCGTAGGGGTATTCGGAAGATGGCGAGGACCTGCAGTTGTCCGGAGCTGACGGGCAGATGCTTTCCTCCGCAACAAGGCTGCATGTACAACAGAGAGCGTTTTGTCGTCAGTCGGGTGCTGGTTTATCTTATCCGCATCTAAACCGCAAACTGCGAAGGAGGGCACGTCGATGCTAGTCTCCAAGTATTAGCTGTACCCCAGTCGAGCAAGCTGACAAGCTAGATTGGCGGACTTGGAGTACGTGCGTCAACGTCAATGCCAATACCAATGCTAATATGGCGACGTAGGCGTTCTGTCAAATGAGGTATTGGAATGGAAGTCGACGGGTTGGCGCTCCGCCGATGGGTATTGTGAGCCGTTTCCTTGGGTCGCAAAAGTCTTCAGCTAAGAGAGAAGCAGACCTCCAACCATGCCGAAGCAGAAACTGGGTAAAATCGCTTTGGACAGGCTCGACAGGCTGCTGGTCGGAGTGTCTGCAGATAACGCTTGCTTGCTTGGCTAGAGCGGTTTCGTCTGTCTAGTGCGAATGGTGCCTGGGAAGTTCAGATGAAGAGAAAAATTGACGTCGGATGGGATGGGAATGGGTGATTCCCGTCGCATGCTTTGCTCTTGGCGTCCCGTTCTGGTCGTTAGGCGTCTTCGGATCGATTGTTCCTGTGATTATATTCCTGTGGCGACTGCCGGCTATTCGGTTTGTTCCTGAGACGCTTTCGATGAAGAAATGCAAAGGGATCGAGTGCGAGATGTGAGCTGATGTTCAAATGACCAAGGAGATGACGCAGTATTCAGCTAGGAACGGTCGCTCTTCCAGGTCGCGAAGAGGGTGGTGATGAATAGACGGATTTGAATTCAGCCAAGACTGCCACAAAAATTCCATGCTCAGGGTCCAACCGACAGCAGTCGTCGGGCCAGGGGAGTGAAACCTTAGCAGACCCTCCAAAGATTCGAGACTGACGAGGGCGGCACGGCAAAGGACAGACGATGTGGAATGAGCTCACACAGCTTGGTGGATGGTGGATGGGTGGCATTGGCATTGGCATTAGTGGTGGTAGACTGTTGTGGGCGACGGTCGCTCTGTTTCCTTTTCTGGCAGCCGGCTGTTGTCCATGTCGATCACGGCGATGACGTCCGTTGGTGGCCAGGTCATGACAATAGCCAGGATGGTCCTTGGTAGCGCCTTTCTCTTGAGTCCTCAGCGTCCAAGATACCCTTTTCCCCCCCTCTCTGCCAGCGTATCCGTATCAATGCATGACGTATCACTTCCGACGTTTCGTTGGTGGAATAGCTCGAAAGCTCAATGGCCGCGGAATTCGCCAGAGATTCGACAGTTCATCGCTGAGTGTAACGAACCCCCACCGTCTCCGGCAAGGCACAGCGCGAATTGGGGACTCGACGACTAAGAATAAGCGCAACGTGTCGGTCTCTCGTGTTGGGTGGATGATGACGGGACACGGAGACCTGTTTTGTGCATATGTTTGCGCGTCCGACGTCTTGTAATGCCATCAGAAGAACAGAACCTCCCGCCAGGAAGCAGCAAGCGTCAGTGTCGGCATGGGGTGCGTTATTCGTGGAAGCAGTGGCGGACCTGTCGCTGAGGCTACAGTTATTCCTCTATTCCTTTACTTGTGCGACGCGATGCCGTCCGACTGGACGACCAGGGTTGGTCGGGTCGAGACCCCTGGCTAAGAGATACCGTCGCTGTCAGCTCAGTGAAGCAGGAATCCGGGCGACGTCAGCGGAGGCACTTGTGGTGAATAGAACTTCTTAGCGCGAGACGTTATTGACGGTATCCGTAGGTAGTCCGGTCCAAGTGAGTCAATCAGGAGGAATCTTGAATTTCGAGCTGATTCCATTCTGAGGTGCCTTATGGATACCGGTCAGAACGGTCGGGAGTGGCTTGTCGAGGGATGCATGCCTTTCGGCCAGCAGTTGGTGGTGAGGACGCATTGTAATCGTTGTAATAAGGTAGGTGCTCGCAGCCGTAAGATGATGCGATGAGCCGTGTTCGCGTTGGCTGTGTTCCATTTTCTGTCATTGACCAAATGAAATTGGAAATGATTTTTGGTGTTGTAAATGCAAAAAGAAGAGGCTACCTACGGTACCTCTTGCCTTACCTAAGTAAGGTACCTCCGCTGGATGCCCCAAGAAACCACTGTCGGAAGGAAGGTGCAAACCCTTTTCAAGATGGCGGGCGCGCCTTCCGTTATCTTCTCCCCGTCGAACGTCAAATTCCACGCAAAAAAGCTGGTCCTTGGGAATTATGAGGGAAAAATGACCAAATAAACATGTGCAATTGCTGCTTTGCTGAGGTAAGCCCGTTCTTGCCGGAAAGAGACGGGAGGTTCAGCAACGACAAATGTGAGAACATCACCATCTTACTTTTACCTCTACACCATCGCGACCGGCCATCTCGTGGCAATCCTTTTCTCTGTCCTTTCTTCATGCATCTACCCGATCCTATCCTCTTGCGGATAGGAGACGGACACATACAACCCCACTGAGCCGGCAGCCCGACTTTAACTCGATGCTTGTCCATGTTCTGTGGATGTCGCTGTGGATGACAATGGGTATCATGAGATGTCCATGTCCATGTACCGCAGTATCTCGGACGGGGTCTCCATCTCCCACAAGAACCGGCTGCAATGGAAAAGACATCAATTGAGCCCAACTCGACCCAACCATCCGCCCGCGTCCCGGTTGCCGGTCTACTGCGGTACTGCGGTACTGCGGTACTGCGGCACTGCGGTACTCCCGTTGCCCGTCTGCTGTGTATCTTGACCACCGCCTGATGGCTGTCATGCCTCGACGATGCGACCGCCAAGCATCGCCCAACTGTGGGACGTTTCGAAGGCTCTAGAACCAACCGCACCGCCTTCGATCTGAGATTCCCGACACGACGAATATCACCAACAACAACATCAAATCTTGACTGGCCAGCGAGACTTCGCCTTGACCGCCCCGCATCATCACGCACCCGACTATCACAAAACCACGAGCCACTGAGCTTCACTGCCACTCAGCCGCACCTGCAGCATCTTGTGCTTGTCGTTCTGCAAGACGACTCTCCGTATTATCTGCGTCTGCCCAACGCCACTTTGCAGTCTGCACGCATAAGACAGAACAAGCAATGACTTACATCTTCCCGCTCGCCGCCGTCGTCTTGACTTGGAACCCCGTTCGATACCGATGTCGCCTCTGCCGCAGTAGACCGCAGACCGCATCTGCCGCGTGGGGACACGAGGGTCGATCTTGAGCCCCAACAACTGCAATTCGACTTGAACAGACTCACTTCGCATGCTATGCTCACCGCCACCATATTGTCAACTATTTCCCTCATCACCTTTGCACCCGCCATGGAAAGGCAACAAGTGTAACGTCTCCCAAGATGCCTCAATTGTGTGAGGTGAGGCAACAAACACATGGGATGGTTGTCTTTCAAGCCACGGCAGGCGCCCAAATGAGAAACTCGGCCATGTCATGCCCTGTCACTGCGTCGTTCCGACAAGGGACATCCCATTTCTGCTCCTTCGCCAAACAGCCCTGCTGAGAAGATGTTCTCTAGTGTAGGTATCTTCTCTTGGCGAGGCTTGCGTTAGAAAACAGGATAAATAATGGGTTTTACAATGAGTATCTAAATAGTAAAGCTTGCGTTAGAAAACCTTTTTGCTCGTGCTTTGTTGCGTTGATCAAGCGCCCCGGTTTGCCTCAAACTTCTCTTCCTCAGAGCAAAATCGACTTCTTAGAACCATGTTGGATTCGAATTCAATCCTAGCATCCCGCAGAGAACAACTCCAGCCATTGGGCTGCGACCATCCCGGAAACTCGCCAACAACGCTCGTCCCCAAGGAAGCCCAAGACGGGGATCCCCCGGCCTCTGACGGACCCAAAATCATCAAACAAAGGCGTTGGGTTCTCGCCCGGTCGGTCGGGTACGACTGTGAGACGGCCCTGGGCTGCCATTCATGCTGTTTTGGCCTATCCAAAGGTGATCCTCCCCGATCATTGCTTGTTTCTCGGCGAATTCCAAAGTCGAGAGGTTTTCAATTTTTCGCATCTCTATCTACTGCAGTTTCAATCAGAGCGGTCATCTGGTGATACGTGCGTGAACTTCATACGAGACGATGCCTTGCCGCATTCGAAGCATGAATTGGTCCTTCGCATCTGTACTCGAGCTTGAAATCCTCAAGTTGCCAACGTCGGGAGTGGTCTATTTCCCACGTGGAATACCGCAATGCCAAGAGTGCCGTCTGAATTGAGGCCACCGACAATTGCTTTGCGCATGCACACACAATAGCCGACAGTGCGGCATCCTGGGCAAACGTCCCCATGGATGTCCGCCAGCCAGCATCTGTCCAAACCTCTAGTTATTTGTAGTTTGAACTAGAGATGTAGGCGAATACTCCCAGCGTCAGCCTGGAAATGTACCGTCGTGACTGCTAACAGAGTCTGCGTGACAGGCCTAGCTTCTGCTAAGACACCGTCCGTCATCCCACGTGCTGCATTGCGTACTTGGACCCCAATCCATGGGCCGTACCAGCTCAAACGGTAAACTAGACCTCCGACGTCCGCATCCAAATGCGCCGTTCTGTGCCAAGCAGCTATTATTACTATCATGAGGCCACGGCGGTTCGGGCAACTGACCATCTTTCAGTTCAATCGGAAGCTCAATCCAGTCTCAACCTGTGTGGTTTTATCGTTCTCAACAAAACATAGTCATGTAACCGGATATGGAAACAGCCTCACTTTTGCTTTGATGCTGACAACCCCATCCTTGGCGATGGAACCAGCCATCCCAGCCACCAAAGGCAAAACAAATCTTTCGTCCTTGGAAGACGTGGAACTCTCGCGGGCCGAGCCCACGAGCCCACGAGCCCATGGAGATGGCCCCTCATCCGGAACTGAGAACCTACTTCGGCGAGGTGGGTCCCTTGGAAAGTTTCGATGCCCGGGAAAGACTGGGGTTCGCTGTCGGTGGCCGGGACGTATCCGAGTCGGCGCCGGCGCCCATCTGCCGGGATGTCGGTGGGGCTTAACGGCCGGAAAGAGATGACGCGAATCATACGATGTGTTGCGGTGCGTTGGCAATGCCCGAGTTGTGACCATTTTGTTTAGTGCTGGTCTGCATTGTGAAAGAATGCTGACGATAGCGCTGGCCCAAGTGCAGGAAAAGGGCGAGAGGATCACCAGTGCAAGCATCGGTTCGAAGAACACGGAGTTCAAGGTCACATCGCACTCAATTGCTGCCGCAAGATCTCGCATATCTAGTATCAAATCAAGCTCAAAGCACGTATCCGCCAAGCACCAACTCCAATCAGCAAGCAAATTTACGCCAAACTGCCCATCGGATCCCACAGGGGCAGCACCGTCGGCTCGGTTCCGGTAACCCCCTTGACCTCCTTGCTGAGGAACCGCGGGTCGATGACGGCCTGGTACACAAACTCATCCATCCAGGCATCGCTCATGACGAACCAGCCCTTGTCGCCCGCGCTCTCGCCCCAGCTGTTTTGCACCCTCCACCGCACACTCCTGCCCTCGGCATCGAGGTGCACAGCCGTCAGAACCATGGCGTGCGTCATAGCACTCTCCCCCGTTCTCAGCCTGCTGGCCTTGTCCATGCCCAGCGTTGAGACTCCGAAACCGAGCTCGTAGTCGATGAGGTCGAGGTCCATGATGCCCGAGGCGGAGTTGCTGAACTTGCCAACGTCCGAGCCGAAGAAGATTGGCAGCCCGGCCTTGAGCATGGAGACGCACGCGGATTTCAAGGCGGCCATGTCGACGTTGACGTAGGTGACCCCGCGGCCGCCGACGATGTTGCCGAGTCTGTCGACGGTCAGGAGTGTCAGTGGCTCGTGGCGCGGGTCGTGGACGAGTGAGACCATGCTGTCGATCACGGCGGATGTGATGCGGAAATCGGAGGAGTAGATATCCTTTGCAAAGGCAGCGGGTGTCGTCTTGAGCTCGTGGGCCTTGCCGTTCTTGTCCAGGTATGACCAGGTGAACTCCTCGCGCGGGTTCGGCGGCGGGCCAAGAGTGAGCGTCAAGATGCTCAGGATCTCCCTCACCATCTTCTCCTTGGCCGAAGACAGAGTCTGGGCGGTCGCCTCGCCGGAGCGGATCTGCTGGCGCAAGATCAGAGCATACTCGCGCAGCTTCGTCTTGACGATGGAGTTCAGCACGCTTGAGTTCATCGCGTTCCAGCTGTCGGGATACAAGGCCTGCGGAACCAGGCCGTACTTTTGCACCAGGTTGTACACCATGTCCCACTGCCCGCCATCACTGACGATATCACCCAGCAAAGCTTGCACGAGTCTTCCGTCCAGGTCCTCGTGGGCCGTGTCGATGATCTGCTCGAGGAAGTAGTTGGACTTCTCGAGCTTGTCCCAGAAGAAGAGGTATGACTGGGACAGTTCGAAACTTTCCAGGTTGTAGCGCTTCATGAGGGCGACGCGGAAGGTGTTTGTGGAGGCGAAGAGCCAGCAGCGACCTGAGGAGCGCTGGTTGGTGATAGGGCCGCCTTCGAAGGGGATCTTGACGTTGAAGATTTGAGGGTCGGAGAGTTTGGCCGAGGTTGAAGTTAGCACCGTTCGGGGATCGGCGGTGCTGAGGGCTGTGAGAGCAAGTCTGGAGATTGTCAGTTGATGATCGAATCGACAGTCTCATACGGGATACCATACTTGTTCTTCGGGTCGGAGAGGAAGCGGGATTGCCATGACTGCGTTAGGTGAACTGGCAAGCCCTCAGGCTCGCGGAGGAGCTTGATGTCGCTCTTCTCGTCGGAGCCTGCGCTGTCCATATTGGTGAACTCCTCGTCGTTGACTTGAAATCGGCGCAGGCGCTCAAGGAGAGCCTTCTCGCTGGAAGGGTCGACGGGGGCGGTCTTAGACGGTTGGGAACCCATCTTCGCTATGTGGATAGCCCGACCTTTTATAAGTCGATCGTCAGTTGAGTTGAAGGAAGTTTTCTCGATGTGTTTTCTGTCGGGAGAAGCAAACACGGCTTCACGTCAACACAATCACGCAAGCAAGCGGGGAGGAGCTTTGAATGAGAGTCAGCTTCATCTACTTCAACGTTTCAAAGGGATGAACAAGCTCGGTATTTAAGACAATGGCACGCGAGTCGGACATGCTCCCCTCCCCCTCCTTCACCCAGTTCCCCATTCCAACTTACGCCCGCCTGATACCGAGAATGCCAGAGAAAGCAGGTGCGTCTTTCTAGAGGTAGGGTAGGCGAGGTAAGGAAGGTGACCCATGTTGAAGCTTCCCGAGACCCGGGGTAGGTTCCCAGTTGTCTTATCAGTTGGAGTCGGTGGGATGCAGACCAGCCAAACAGCGATAAGATGAGGGGTGCGGATGCAGGGATGAGCTGCCTGCGACGGCTAGTCACGCGCGCCATTCGACACACGAGACACGATACTCTGCAGAAGATGCCCATCAAGGTCCCCATGCATCTCGTCCCCAAAGGTTCTCACATGATGCCTCTTCTGCGCATCGGGTGTGAGATGGCGGAAGCACAAGCCGCTCATGGGGATTGCAACATCTCAGCCCAATCACGATTGCGTAGGACGGATATCAATAATTGGGAACGATTTGTGTGCTCTCTACCCATTGCCCCGTCAACCTTGTATGGTCGCTTTATGGAGATGCCTACGGGATCCAATGCTGGAAGTTAGATGGCACATGTGTGTGTGTGTGGGTGTGGGTAACTTGGTTGTGGTTGTGTGAAGTAAACTTCAGCAATAGGCGTAACCAAGGAAACTTCCCCAAACTTCCCCAAAATTAATGGTAAGAGCATCGAAGGAAAAGTGGATTCCCCATCCGCGGCCTGAGAGATAGCCGGCGATATCGCTCGGACACCGGCACCGTTCAGACAAAGACCCATAAAACCGGGACGTCCGTGTCCGGAGATCCGACCGGGGAACTTCGGTGATGAGTGCGATTCGATCACAAGCACAAGCCGAAGCACGCCGCAAGAATAAACATATCTTATTGATGTAGAAAGTCTGGAACTAGCACATTTTCCCTCGGCGGAAGTTTTGACAGCCCCTGGCTACCTATTGCTAACATTGACCGTCACTATTTCCAAATGTAGTACTGCGAGACGAGCCATCATCCTCTGAGTCGGACGTCGCGGCGTACTAGAAAAACGGTGGACGCCCGCGACTGGGTCTGTTGTCCCTGCTTTGTGGTTCTGAGGATATGCCTGAAAGGAACCTGCTCCCTCTGCTACTCTCAGCACGTCGTGGCTGGGCGATTCTGATCTCGCCGCCATCCTGGCATTGGATTATAGTATCTCCAGTCATGAGAATGGCTCTACCAGTAACCCTAATTGTAACATCTTCGCTATCAATAGCCGTAGATTCAGTAGTTCGAGTAGGGGCACTTTGAGAGAAGTCACTCTCGCGGCTGCTGTCGGAAAACTCGCTAGAGCTATATCGCCTGGACTTGATCTTCTTCAGAGCTGCGGTAGTCAGGGGGCGCAACACAGAGCTGCCCGTTTCCGTGTTCTGATGCGCGTCTGGTTCCGTTGCCGTTTCCGCGCTGTCGGGTCTTGACTTTGCAGTGGGCTGGGATTCCGACAATAGCAGCTGCTTGATTCTCTGCCGTTCATCAACTCCCCCGGCCGCTGCATCTTGAATCAAGTACGCTTTGACCGGCATCTCTCTCTTAGGAGATGCATAACACCATCTCTCGATCCCCTCGAAGGTTTTGCATTTCCAGCAATGCCTAACGTTGTCAAGAGCTCTGCTGCATCTTCGACACGTAAAAATCGGGAAAGGTGTAAACTCTTCAACATGCTGATGTGCGCTCTTCCAGTGCTCTTCGCAGCCTTCACGACTGTCACATCTCGAGTCGCAGAGACCAGTTCCATCAATTCCAGTCAGGAGACATCTCCAACCTTGTTCCTCACCCATGGATTTTCCGCAAGGATAGCACAGTACCCCGGAAGGTTGTTGACTCGCCGTGATTTCTCGGTCTTCATCATCGCTCAACTCGGAGTCGTCCGAATCCTCTGCTTCTCTGATCTCAAGACCGTCGATTGCTAGAGGAAGGGCTTCACGAGCGAGCTCCTGGAGATGTTTGGCCACATGGGAGCGGAACTTCCCACTGTTGTTCGCATATGTTGAAGTTGGCCTCCAGTCATTGCAAAAGGGACAAGCGTCCCTGCCAAAGTTTGTGAGGGTTTTGCGTGAAGCCCTAGCCATAACGCGCATCTGGGCCTTGGACACGACTCCGGCGTGTTGGGAAGCGAAATGGTTCTCAAGGGCTTTTTCGGTGTCGCATTTGGCGTTGCAGCGGTAGCACTTCCACTCCTGTCTATGATTGTCCATTTCATGCTTGAACCAATCATGAGAAGTCGGGAAGGGGTCTGCTACGCAATCCTCGAAGGTACAAATGTACATTTGAAGATCGCGATAAACATGCCGTCTATTCCTCGTAAGCCTGTCTTGATCTCACGAATATGAGGTTGCACTAGAGAACTCACCTCCAGTGGTTTCTGCTTTCGATCACTTGAATAGTCCGACAGTAAGGGCATTCGATATGCTGGTTGTAGTCCAGTTTGACGCCGTCAAGCCACATGTCCGTGAGATTCGGAATTTGACGTCCAGTCGCCGTGTCACCGGCAGCGGTCGTAGCAAAAGATGTTGCTACACTGATGAAACTTCCTTCTCTGTCTTCACCTTGTTGTGAGACAGCACCGCTGGGCACATCGAGCTGGTCATGATAAGATGTCGCCTTCGTGGTGGCGCGACAAGAGTGCTCATCGCCGAGAGAATCCTCATTGGAATGTGCCAGTCTCTTGCGATGGCTTTGCCTATAGCGGATGTATTCTCTCTGCCTGTTGACCCACGTGCCTATGCGTATCGCGAGTTGAGGTCTCTGCTTCAGCTTGGGGAACTTGTCGCGCACGTTGACAATATCAGGGCCGGGGTCGGTTTGAGAAGCCTGTGGCCTTTGTCTTCCCATACGGCCACGAGGACGATCTTGGCGAATCAGAGTTGATAGAGTAAACAGATGCGTGATGCTGGAATGAATGTTGCGGAATAGCTCGACGAGCTCCGTCGTGTCCGACGGTATGCCCATCCCGCCGCGGTCATCGTTCGCAAGAGTGTCCGTAATAATCTGAATGGACTGCTTTGCCAACAGTTGTTCAGAGGTGGTAGGCTTGCTCGATCTGTTCGGCAAGTCACCTGAGATGATTCTAGTTGCTTTTGATTGTTTTTGATTAGTTCAAATACCAGAGCGACATCCGTTCAAGGAACTTTACCTCGGCCGATGGCGTCTCCCAAGCGTATCAAACCTGATGACACGAAATTTCTCATCCGATCCGCTGCTTTCAGTCTAGAATCCAGGGAGCTTGCCAAACTCGGATCTTGCAAAGCGCCGATGTTTGCTGCCCATATCCTGAACCTTCCTGTCTCATCGACGATGGTGTTGTCAAGATCGCGATACTGAGAATTGCCTGCATCCTGACGCAATTTGGCGAAGGCTGTATCGCACTTGTGTGACAAGTTGGAAATGGTGTTTTGACCAGAATTCGCAAGTTCTTCCCCCGGCGGTTCGCCAGGATCAGAGGACTGCGTCCCACGGGTGCTCATCATCGCAGGACGATGAGTGAAACCCATCTATTGTTGATGAAGACGTTTTGGTACGAGAAGCAGGCTACGGATCATTCAAATGCTTCCGAACTTGGACAACCCCTCATCCGACCCTGGTCCGTATTGGTCTGCAGATGGGTGAACCAATGAGGCATGTTCAGCTCCTGTGGCCGGAAGGCTCTGTTACCAGAGGTCCACCCGAATCCGTTGATTACATCCCCGCTGACAACCTCGACTTTGCGACATCCCAACACCGCCTACTGCTAACCTCGAAGCCTACTGGAGGCACAAATACGAGGTCGTCATGTCAGGCTTTGAAATTGCTGGACTTGTTCTCGGCACGTTTCCGATTCTTTGCGATGCTGCCAAGGATCTCAGTGGTGTTCTCAAAAAGGCCAGATCATGGTGGCGGTTCGAAGCGACGTTTGAAGCATTCTCTTCGGCCATCGAGACACAGGAGGTCGCTTACACTCAGGTACTGAAGCGTCTTCTCGACCCGTTGGTTATTCCAGACGATGAATATGACAGCCTGTTGCGAGACCCGATGTCCCCTTTGTGGTATGAGACACGCATCCAGGAAGGCTTGCGGCAACGTCTGTCATCAGAGCATCGGTACTTCATGCGGAACCTCTCTGATCTGAACGAAGCCATACTTGAGTTGCAGAAGCTGTTACCTCTGGATATGGTATGCCCCAACGGACGAGCCTAGGGTCCAAGAGATGCACATCCTCATCCAGTTTGGGACTGACCGAGAGAGTAGCTGTACCATTTAGACTCAAACAGTCTGGAAAGCGAGCTTTTCCGTCTCCATACCAGCTTCAGCAGCGAGAAAGACCGACAACTGCACCGCATCACGAATATCAACAACGAGTTGCATCTGTTCTTCGACCGGGCATCATCAATAACCAGAAATGCCGCGCAGAAGCCAAAGTTATCATTCAGAGATCTGCACAACCAGGCATTGGAGTTCCATGAATCTTTAGCGCGGAACTGGCAATGCTCGTGTGACACTGTTCACACCATCGGGATCGCTGTCAATCCAGCAGTCCTGAAATCAGCCAAGAGAGATAGCGAGGCGTTTTTCGACGTACTTTTCGAGACGGAAAACAAGAGGAAAAAGTTGCGCCTTCAGATTGAGTCCGTTGTGGTAGTCACTTCAAAGGCAGGCGACCCGGCAACTCAGTCGACCCCGACAATCAATATCGAAGCAGCTGGTGACATGAGAGACCAGATGGCTCTCAAGAAGCAGCTTAAGTCAGTTTCACTGGCCGCGGATGAAAAAAGCGTTGCCGCGCTGGCTTTCACTTCATTATCCATATCGAGCCCTCCGAGTTCTGATCCTCCTCGAAAATCAATTCTCAAACGCATGACACGAAAGCTGCAGAAACCCTGGCTGATGACAGAACCCTTGCTGACACCGACTGTCGCCAGAACCACCTCTAATACCAGTTCGGTCTCAAGCCTCAACAGAAGCGTATCAGCCAGCACCGCAGTGCTCACGGACAACTCAAGCTTCAGCACTGCACCAGAAAGGTAAGTTCAGGCTGATAGCAACAGAACATTGAGCAATGTTGACATCGTGCGAAAGAGAACCGTCAATCTCTGGTAGCGGTATCTCCAACATCTCGAGAGTCAAGTTTGCCAGTACCGGCTCGTTGACCGCATCATTCCTCGAGCCAAATGATACCGACCCTGTCAGCCCAACAAGTATTTGCAAGATAGCAACACATTCATCGGGCGACTGCTGCCGGAACGTGTTACCTCTTGACGGCGGTAGAAGACTCATTCTAGAGGAAGAGAAGCGTTTCGATACCTTCGAAACGCAGTCGATCAACACCTTCCTTCAAGCTAGGTCTATGCGATATAACCGCATCTACATCGGCCTGCGATTCGCCCTCACACTACTCGGTTTGGCCACGTCTGCATGGATGCCCGCACAGCTTAGCAAAGACGACATCTTCCTCATTCATACTGGAACACATGACAAGAAAGCGAAACCATTGGGCCCGTACTTCTCGCGGAGTTCTCGCGACATATGCTCTGCAAGCAATCCAAAAGACCACCACACATGGGACGCCAAGTCCTCACTGCTTCTATTGGGTATCACCTTGTTGGAACTCTTTCAAGGCGATAGTCTGCAGAACCAGCCTTCGTGGACGGAGTCTCTTGATGACGACGGGATGCCGAACGACATGACCATGTTCTGCAGCGCGTGGCTCTGGATTAATACGGCTCAGAGCTCGATGAAGGCTTGGATTGGCGAGGAGCTTGGTGGGGACTTATACGAAGCTATACGCAAGTGCATTTGTTATGAATTCGGCCGTGACGACGATTTCGGGGATTCTCGGTTTGCGGAGGTGGTATATCGCGAGGTTGTGGTGCCACTAGAGAGGTGTTGCCCGCAATTCTGAGTCGGACACATCCAGGAACCAAGCAAGCAAGCCAGGCCTTGGGGAGGCAATGAGTGTGCCCCAGTGCTTCATAACATGTAGACACAAGAGCATGTCAATGCGACAACAGTATTAACAGTGTAAGGACAGCATAACCTTGTGGTCCATCACTTGCCATGATACCGCCTGTGTATACAATGTTGAACAAGGTGTCTGCCCAAGGCAACTCATGAGCATGAGACAAGGTCACTTCACCAAGTACAACTTCAATGGCATGAGATGGATTACAGATCATATACAGAGCTACCATATCTACGTAAAAGACTAGACTCCGTGATCCTTTATCCTAAAGATTTTGACCATATTGACTTCGCATTTCTCCATTACATTGAATCATCTGTAGTTCGTACATGTTGCTAGATCCCAACAATCCAAGACGTGAGGTGACATAACACGACACGCTTACAGACGGGAGCCGTGGATAACCTTGACGTCGACGGCGAGCTCGCGGCCGTTGTCGTTGAGAACCAGGACGCGGACGGAGCCACGGCCGGACTCGAAGGCCTGGTTCAGGCGGCTCCAGAGGTTGGACTGGTCAATGACGGGCAGGTTGGGCTTGACGTCGCCGGTCTCGGTCATGGCGGTGACGTGACCGTCGGAGAGGTCGAGGACGCGGTACTGCTTGAAGATGGGGCCGAGCATGGTCTGGACGACGACGCTGGGGCCGGGGTGGGCGATGAAGGAGGACTCCTCGTGGAGCTGCTTGGTGAAGAGGTCGACACCGAGGTAGCGGTACTGGCCGGTGGCGGCGGAGGTGGAGATCTTGATGACCTGGCAGGGACGGCCCTGGAGCATCAGGAAGTCGCCGAGGCGGATGTGGTGGCAGGGGATGGTGACGGTGTTGGGGAGGAGGGGAGAGCCGCCGGCGGAGCCGGAGGGGCGGGGGGAGGGAGCACGGTGCTCGCGGATCTCCGCGACCTCGTAGCGGTCGGATCGGCCTTTATGACGGTGAGCAATCTTGTCAGCCAAGCTGTGGAGACCCTGGCGGAAAGAATGGTAGTGGCCTGGTGCGAACGACACCTTTCAGTTCTTGGTCCTTAGAGTTGGGGGGAGCACACTGCGCAACCATAACAACTAAAGCCAAGAAAGCAATACCGGGGGACACCTGAGCCTCGGGGGGTGTGAGCTCAAGCGAAGGGGGTTTGTTGACTTACCATCCTCGTCGTAGTAACCCATCTTGGACTTGTGCTTGGGGGCGGATGCGTGGGAAGGCTCAACGGTCTCTTCGGTAACCTTTACGGTTTCCTTGTACTCCAGAGGACGGGGGCGCTCGGAGTGAGAGTCGACGGTGTACTCGTCGACGTGGGAGTGAGAGTGGTGGGAGTGACCAGAGTGGTGCGAGGAGTGGTGAGAGTGAGCAGGCAAGGGACGCTGCTCGACGGTGACCTCTTCGCGGTGGTAGGTAGGCTGGACGCGTTGACGGTACTGGCGTTCGATTCTATCAATCGGGTTTACCAGGTGCTCGTGGTGGCGGGTGTCGACTTGAACACGAGTGTCGTGGAACTCTTGGGTCTGGAACTGAGGGACAGGGCTGGAGGAAGGAAAAAGAGAAGAGAGGTCAGTTGAATGTTTTGGATGGGATGATGGATGGGTAAGATGGATGAAATGGGGGGGAAGAAGAGCTTGATGGGGAAGCTTTTTTGTTCCAGTTGACATGTTTGACGTGACATGTTGTTACTTGGCCAACTGCGGACTAGGGGCCGGGAGGAGGCGCCCAGGGTCCATGGTCGGCGGCTCGTAATGAACAGGGTAGCAAGGGAAATTTGGTGAAATACCGGGGCCCGAGCTGAGGCGTATCCGCGGCTGGGGACAGGGGAGGAGGGTCGGAAGAGGAAGAGAGAGGATGGCCAAGCAAGGGGAGTGGAGGGGAGGCGGTGACGCGGGTGGGTTTGTGTTGTTTTGGGGGTGTGTCTGGAGGAAGAGAGAGGATGGATGGATGGATGGCACGGCGACGAGCTGCTTGCTGGAGCAGGCGTTGCGGCCAGATGTCCATGTCCATCCGAGGCCAAGGGCCCTTCCGACTCTTGCCAGGTGAGGCGAAGGTGAAGGTGATGGATGGAGTTGACAGAAGAAATCGAGAACAAGACATACCGGTGGTCCTCAATGTAAGTGTGGGACTCGTGATGGACGTGAGGCCTGGGCTTGGGGGGACCGGGACGGTGGTGGTGGTAGTGCTCTTCGATGCGAACCTCTTCTTCGGTGATGCGGGTGTCTTTCCGAGGAGGGAGCTGTTCGGAAATGGCAGAGAAGGAGGAAGAAGAAGAAGAGTGTTCACCTTCCCGTCCGGGCTTTTGAGGCTTCTGGGGAAGTTTGATCTCAAGCTCCTCGTGGGTTTGGGTGACGGTCTGGGTCTGGGTTTGTGTTTGTGTTTGTGCCTCACTCTCCTTGTAGGTGGAGGGAAAGACGCTGAAGGGGACGGGGATACGGGCTTCAAAATCCAGATTGGCGGCCTTGAGGGCGCAACGAGGAGAATCTTCTCAGCGTTCCCGTACGAGACGAAGGAAGGCAAAGAAGAGTATCCTCTTGCTTCGTTTTCCTAAAAAAACAAAGGAGAAGGGAGAATCAGGAAGAAGCCGGTCTTTGGACGACTCGCGCTTCTTTTGGTAGTTCTCTTCTGCTTTGAATTTGGAGGAACAGAGGGCGAAGGCAGCAGCAGCGGCAGCAACAGCGTCGGGCAGCAGCAAAGATGGCTTGAAGCTTTGGAGATGGATGGGGAGAGAGGGAAGAAGGAGGGAGAAGAGGGTCGGGCGAGATGTGCGATGCGGATTGGGTTTTGAAGACGGGGGGCTGGGGGGGAGATGGTTGGACGGAGCAGAGACGAGCACGACAGAGAGAGATGCAGCAGACGAGGGCTGTGAGGTTGCCGGGGCAAGGGGCGTGTGTTGACTTGATCGGGGATGTATCGACAAGGAAGACAGCGAGAGCGTGAGAAAGCTGAAGCACGGAGTGATATTGGGACTTTGCGAGTTATACGATATGTGGGGACTGGAGGGGGGGAATGAGGTGTGAGTGGTTGATGTATGAAGTTGGATTGGCCCGAATTGTCTTGTGTCAAGTCTTGAGTAATTGGATTGCTAGTGAGAGAGAGATGGACGTCAAATCCTGTACCTGTCAAGTGTCTGTGGGCGATATGGTGTGCGCCGCCAATGTCAAACCCACGGGAGCGAGATGAGAACAGATGGCCCAGCCTTTCCCGTCGCAGTTTGGCCTTGGTTTGAGTGGCAGAAAAGCCGGGCTTGAGGGTGCATGTGTTGTGGGAATTGTTTACATTGGCTCCCGTTACTTGCAGCTGGTGGATATTCTATTGTTTATTCCCGCCGAAACGGGATTAGCCCGGCACACTGCACCGAGAAAGCGGGGCCGACCGGGGTGGAGCTCTGCAGCTCGAAGCTTTGGCGCCCCACACCTGGCCGCTAATGGAGCCTCAGGTTGCGATCACTCAACCTGGGAGGCATTCAAGGCATCAGTTCAGTTGAACAGACAAGGAAGGCAGGTACGAACTTGCCAGCTCCATCCCCAATCTCGATGTGACCTTCAACCTCTCGGTACGTACCTTTACCAAGGAACACCTCTCGTCTCACCTTGTTTGTGCTCGTTTCTGAGTCGTCGGCCAGGGCCTCACATCTCATTCTTACTTACCTAGGTACCAACAGCTTGCCTCTGCGCAGCGCCTAAAGCAATTGAAGGCCCAACAATCGCCGTACGATGCCAATTGGCCCACTGGAGCATCCTCATGCAATCGTCAACCTTCCGAGCCAGCTTTGCATCCGTCTGCATGCACGATGCTGCCGTCAACTTGATGGGGAGGCGTTGGGCTGCTGCTGGAGGCTGGAGCTCCGACAACTTCTGTTGCTCCAGGCTCCTCCTCCTCCACAATGCCGCAGCTGGGTCGTAGCCATCCACGTCCAGACTCCGGTTTGTCAAGATTGAACGATTCAACAGGGCCAGGCACCCAGGGCCACCATTCGGATCAGAATCAGGATCAGGATCAGGATCAGGATCACTCGCTGCTCCCAGCCTCTTCTTGCGCAAGCTCTGACAGTGGATCGTCCAGCATTGATTGCCCTGGCCTGGCCGTTGGCGAACTGCTTCCACCGGCACCCACCTGACCGGCTGACCGTGGTCCTCGGCTGTTTCTGGGTCTTTCCCTCCACCAAAGATTGCAAGCTTTCCCGTTCACCGGCGACAGAATTATCCCAACCTCCCCATCCCGGGCTGGCCTTGACACGAAATCGAGCGACATCCTTACGAATACAGAAGGGGACGAACTGGGACTCTCACCAAAAATAGGGGTCCCCCGGATTCCCACGGCGAGAATCGCCCAGCAGTTCAGGACCTGCAAATTTCCAGTCTCGCGGTCCTTGATCACCTAGCCCAGTTGCATGCGGTGATGGGTGCCACAAGCCTAGCTTCCGCCAATAAACGGCCGTGTCACTGTGCTCGGCCATGAGGCCAGACGAGAGACATGGGGACACGACAGACGCTACACTACGGATAAGACAGAGACGCCTCGGTTCAAATGGCTCCAGTTGCAACGTTCAACGCTGCAGGTCCTTCCTGAATGAGTCGATCACTGTCTGTCACATTTCCAGCAGTCAGCAGTGTGTTGTCGTCGTCGTCGTCGCCGTCGTCGATATCCCTACGGATGCACTCGCTTCAGCAAACAAAACAGACGGGGTGGCTGGGTGCGAAGATCATCGTTTCAACCACGGCCCAAATTGCCCGCTATCGACTGTCTGCATGGCTCGAATAGCCTGACTTGCGGCAAGCCAGAAACTCAATTGGCTAGCTTCTAGAGCTTTCCCAACCACCCACCCACATCAGCTCTTCGCCCGCCCCCCGACCCTCTCTTTTTTACGCCGGCGGCTGCTTGATGCTGATGAAGCCCTGCTGAAAATCAGCATCGGCACGTCTTTGCCTACCAATACGGGCACTGCTTTCTGGGCCGATAGACTCGTGGAATCCCTCCATTGGACTGTCAGTCTGCAACCAATGCACAACTTATGCAAGTTGACGGTCGCACATGCAAAACGAGGCTGGCTAGCAACTTGCTTTTTGCGACGAGACGTGGCCTCAGGCTCTTTCTCTCTCTCAATAGCGAACATAAGCCGGACCGCGAGAGTCAGAAACGCAACCCAAGACCTGGAGTTACCGTACGGATCCCGCCCGCAGCGCCCGAGTGGGGGTCTCACCACCCCATGCATGGAGCTCGACCGCCGGCTTCCCCATTTCCCCTGAATCGATTTCAAAGTCCTGGACCTGGAGACTCTTCTCCGCCGATGGCCTGTCGTGCTGATCTGGGGAGGTTGGACTTGTTGATAATCTGTCGATTTCCCTGGCCCTGCCATCGACCCAATTGACCCGGGAAACTTTTTTTCAATGCTTTCCAGCCATCTTCCTGGCCATTGAACCAGACCAGACGAACTTTTCGGGACGCACGGGTGGTCCCTTGACATGCCCCTGGCTCATCTGGTTGCCCCGACGACGGGAAATGCCCCGGTCCCCGCTCTAGCCGTTTGGGGAAGCCACCTCTTCGGCAGTACGAATGGACGATCTTCACCGCGTATCTTCATTCAGTTGCGATGGAAATTCGAAGCATGTTTGGCTGCTATTGGATCACATGAAAGCTCTTCCCAACCTCTGAATTCCTTCTGATCTGCGTTGTCAGTCCAACGATTACACTTTCACCGAGTCGAGATTACCGAGTACAAGCTGGAAGAGCAAATGGCATGGATCCCGTCGCATGGGCAAACACCCACAGATGGCCGATTGGGCATGGCCCGAACGGCATCCTGTCATTGCTCGTAGCTCGATATTGACCCGGCGTTGCATCAGGTAACTCCAATTTGATGGCTGTAGAATGGTTCCCAAGTAGGGAAGCCCACCGGCCGCAAGGTCGACGGGAACCGATGACCTCCGTCCCGAAGGCACCCGCGGGGCCCTCGGTGGCGGCCGGGCGGCGGCGGAGGGTGTCGATGACAAGTCCAACCTCAGACATTGGGCCCGTAAAAGTGTTGTCCCGAGGTAGTCTAGAGGGGGGGAAAATTTCCGAGACGGTTGGTTTCGATGTGATACCCAGACGTGAATCTCTGACCTCAAGGTCTGAAGTTTCGATGCAGCCCTTCGAAGTTTTTCAATGGATCGAGGTTGAATCAAGGTCTGGGCATGACAAACAAGCGGCAAACAACAGCTTAGGCTGTTGCCGTAGTCATCCTCCATATTAGCTCCCGAATAGGAGGCGTCTTGCCGCAGACCGTCTGATGCCAGGCTCTGGTTCTTTGTCAAGCTGTCAGCCTGCTCGGCTCTGCCATTCAAGCTTATCAAGCCCTCAGACTAAGGCTCACGATGGAGCTTTGGTCGTGGCGCACAGCTCGGTGTGCGTCATCAGGCCAAGCACCAGGCGAAGCTTATGCAGGCGGAGTTATAGAAGTAAAGATTGATGTTCCAAGATGAACCTGAAATAAGGTGATTCAATTGAAGTAAAGCTGAATGTTGTTGAAGCAAGAAGATCATGAAGGGCGGGATCCATAGGTGATTTCACGTGACGTCATTGTGGCGCTCGCACTCGAAGCCCGTCTCCAGCCACATTTGCCCCGCGATTATTCAATCACCTCAGATCCTGCCCCTCGATCGTCTCATCGGCACACATCTACACCGAAAGCTGCCGCGAACCACCAGGCGCGAATCCGTAACACCCATACTGCGCTGCGCATAACGATCCACGCCACGAAGCTACAATCATGAAGCAGCGTTTTTCTTCGATCGACGTCAAGGTCATCGCCCACGAGCTCCAAGAGAACCTCACCTCGTTGCGACTCGCCAATGTCTACGACCTCTCCTCAAAGATCCTGTTACTCAAGTTCGCGAAGCCCGACAATAAGAAGCAACTGATAATAGACTCGGGCTTTCGATGCCATCTCACAGACTTTACCCGCACGACGGCCGCGGCACCCTCAGCCTTCGTCACGCGGTTGCGCAAGTTTCTGAAGACGAGACGCTTGACTAAGGTCTCACAAGTCGGAACGGACAGAATCCTTGAGTTTCAATTCAGTGACGGGCAATACCGCCTGTTTCTCGAATTCTTTGCTGTAAGGCCGCTTTGGGCTACCGAGTTGAGGACAACAGATAGCTGACAAATCACATCGTGCAGAGCGGAAACGTCATCTTGACCGACGCCGACCTCAAGATCATTACACTTCTGCGAAACGTTAACGAAGGCGAAGGCCAAGAGCCCCAACGGGTAGGACTCACGTACTCGCTCGAGAACCGACAAAACTTTGGCGGCGTTCCGCCCCTGACGAAAGAGAGGGTACGAGATGCGCTGAAGACATCAGCCGAGAAGAACGCTACGGCTGCTGCGGCGGGCAAGAAGAGTAAGGCGAAGCCAGGAGACGAGCTGAGAAGAAGCTTGGCGACCACAATCACGGAGCTTCCGCCAATCTTGGTCGATCATTCCTTCAAGACGACGGGGTTTGATGGCACCAAGAAGCCGGCTGAGATTCTCGAGGACGAAGCTCTGTTGGACGCTCTTTTGGCAGCATTGACCGACGCACGAGGCATAGTCGAAGATGCGACCAGCTCCGCCACTGCCAAGGGTTATATCTTTGCGAAGTTCAGGAACAAGCCGGAGGGTGCGACACAGGATGCCGAAGAAACGAAGCGATCGGACTTGCTCTACGAGGATTTCCACCCTTTCCTGCCTAATAAGTTCTCGAACGACCCAACAATCAAAGTCCTTGAATTCGACGGCTTCAACAAGACTGTGGACGAGTTCTTCTCTTCCCTGGAGGGCCAAAAGCTCGAGTCGCGACTTACGGAACGAGAGGAGACGGCCAAGAGGAAGCTTGAGGCAGCCAGAAACGACCAAGCGAAGCGCATTGAAGGGCTGCAGGAAGTGCAGTCCCTTAATGTGCAGAAAGCAACGGCTATCGAGGCCAATGTTGAGCGTGTCCAGGAAGCGATGGACGCGGTCAGCGGTCTCCTACAGCAAGGCATGGATTGGGTCGACATCAGCAAGCTTATCGAACGAGAGCAGAAGCGCAACAACCCCGTCGCCGAGATCATCAAGCTGCCCCTCAACCTCGCAGAGAACACCATCACTTTGTTGCTCGGTGAGGAGGAAGATATCGGGGACGAAGACTCCAACTACGAGACCGATTCGGATGCATCAGATAGCGAGGATGACAACGCAAACGACAAGCAGAAGACTGCAAAGCATCTGGAGGTCGAGGTCAACATTGGGCTGTCGCCATTTGCCAACGCGAGAGAGTACTATGAGCAGAAGCGAACCGCTGCCAAGAAGGAGGAGAAGACTGTTCTACAGTCCGAGCTCGCCCTTAAAAACGCGGAGCAGAAGATTCAAGCTGAGCTCAAGAAGGGACTGAAACAGGAGAAGGCGGTTCTGGCACCCATCCGCAAGCAGATTTGGTTTGAGAAGTTCATCTGGTTCATTTCAACAGACGGATACCTCGTGCTTGGTGGCAAGGACGCTCAGCAGAACGAGATGCTATACAAGCGTTACCTCCGCAAGGGTGACGTTTACGTTCACGCAGACATTCATGGTGCCGCCACCGTCATCATCAAGAATACTCCCAGCGACCCTGATGCGCCGATTCCACCTTCGACATTGGCGCAGGCTGGCACGCTGGCCGTCTGCAGCTCGAGCGCATGGGATTCCAAAGCTGGTATGGGCGCTTGGTGGGTAAAGGCTGACCAGGTTTCCAAGTCCGCCCCGACCGGAGAGTATCTACCAACGGGAAGCTTCATGGTTCGCGGCCAGAAGAACTTCCTCCCTCCCGCACAACTGCTCCTCGGTATTGGTATCATGTGGAAGATCAGTGAAGAAAGCAAGGCTAGGCACGTGAAGCATAGGCTGTATGACGGCTTTGCTACTCAAGCCTCAGCATCAGACAGCGCAGCCGGGGCGGATGCTCAAGACAAGGTCGATGATGAGGCTTCTGACATCGGTTCCGACGACGAGCACGAAGACGAGAAGCCTAGGGACAACCCTCTCCAGAGATTTGGACAGCAAGGGCAAGATGACTCGGAAGAGAAACTTGCTCAAGAAGACTCGCCCGCCGATGACCTAGAGCCGCCAGCCGATGAAGTGGAGAAGCTCATGCTTGAGGAGGACAGGGCCGCTGAAGCTGCTTCCAACCAACCGAGCAAGTCCTCTGAGGAGGAAGGAGAGGAAGAGGGAGAGGAAGAGGGAGAGGAAGAGGGAGAGGAAGAGGAGCAAGGAACCGACGAAGGCGCTACGGGGACTACAACCCCAGCAGAGTCTGCTACGGTTCCCGGTTCTGCTGCTAGTACAGCCGCAACCGACAAGCAGCGTCCTGCCAAGCGAGGTCAGAAAAGCAAAGCAAAGAAGATCGCCGCAAAATACAAGGACCAAGACGAGGAGGACAGAGCGGCTGCGGAGTCTTTGTACGGTGCCGCTCGAGGCAAGCAGAGAGCCGAGGCTGAGGCGCAGAGCAAGGCGCAACGAGAGGCCGAGCTAGCAGCGCTGAAGGAACGCCGAAGAGCGCAGCACCAGCGTCAGCAGAAGGAAATTGCGGAGCATGAAGAGGTTCGCCGTCTGATGAACGAGGAGGGCATTGAAGTGCTCGACTCGGAGGAGATGGGCAAGATGACTCTGCTCGACAATCTGGTCGGCACTCCTCTGCCGGGCGACGAGATCTTGGAGGCTATTCCTGTCTGCGCGCCTTGGAATGCCATGGGCAAGTTCAAGTACAAGGCGAAGCTCCAGCCTGGAGCTGTAAAGAAGGGAAAGGCTGTCAAAGAGGTGTTTGAGACCTGGAAGGCGGTCTCGGGTAAGAAGGGAGTGCTCGACGAGCGTGCTCAGGATAAGGAAAGGATGTGGCCCAGAGAAGTTGAGCTGATCAAGGCGCTCAAGGCCGAGGAGGCTTTCAACTGTGTCCCCGTGGGCAAGGTCAGGGTCATGATGGCTGGTGGTAGCAGTGGCTCTGGAGGCGCCAAGGGGCAGCAGGGTAAGGGTGGTCGCGGAGGAAGGGGATCCAAGAAGAAGTGAGGTTTGTGATGCATAAAGCGTATATTAGATGCTTGGGCAAAGAGCCACGTCTTGAAGGCAATCATGATATCCATCTGCATACTCCATTAAAACCTCGCTCATCCACCAGTCTACTTCTTCGCCATTGAAAACGCCCTCAGAATATCCTGCTTTTGATGCTCCGAAGTCCACTCAAACCTCACCTCCGCAGTCTGATCCGCACGCACTTCCTCTTCTGTAGCCCAGACGAAAGCGTCATGCTCCTCGGGATCAATCTTAACTTCGGCCTCCCCCTCGCCATCCGTCTCTACCTCAACGAGGTACGTAAATTTCCTCCACGCGTCACGTCCCTTCGCAGCCGCAGGCGACCTCCCATCCCCGTCCTCACCACCCATTTTAACACCCGCATCCGACGGCCCACTCGCGATCCCGACGCCGCCGCCCGGCAACGCAAGAGCTTGGTCCCCAGGGACAACCGGCGCGTCATCGCTCGCCCCGAACCCGGACCACTTATAACTCCCCACCAGAGCACTCACCCTCTTGGCGCGCAGTCCCGTCTCCTCCCACAATTCGCGCGTGGCCGACGCGACGAGGTTCCCGTCGACCGCCTCCGCGGCGCCGCCGGGGAGTTCCCATCGGTGCGGGAGGGCCTTTTCCGTCGCGCTCCGCTGCAGGACGAGGACTTTGTGCGGGGTGGACGCGAGGTTGAGCACCGCGGCGCCGACGGCCAGGCGGTGCGTGACCAGCTCGCGCGGGTCTGTGCCAGAGGAATTGAGGGGATGGTAAGGGATCAGATACGGGTTCAGGCGCGGGGATGTGGCGTATGATAGAGGCGGGTTCGGAGGCGGAGGAGGCATCTTTGATTTCTGGAGTATGTTTGATGTTGCGATGGCGCGGTGTTGCTGTTGCAGACGCGCGAGGGTGAGGTTTTGGGTGATTGAGCGGATGAGAGGGGACGAAAGACGCAGACGCGGCGGCGGTGGTGGCATTTTTGTAGACTGTCGCTGCCTGCGGGCGGGCTTTCTTTGTACGGCTGGTGCCTGTTCTACTGCAGAATTGGTGGCTTTTGTCTTGGTGCGAATTGATGTCAGATTCGGGGGGAAGTTTGGGGCCGTCGCCGACGACGGAGGCGGAAGGGGATGTGTTTGCCGATGTGGGGCGTATTTTCGGGTCCGGCGCGGAGTGACGTAGGTGTTTGTCGCCGAGTGTTTGGCACCGTTTTGAGGTTGAATTGGCCGTGAAAAGAATTTCCGGAGAGGCGTAAAACACGCGATTGGTATGGGCTAAGTCGAGCTTGATATATCCAGTCCATTACAACTTACGACAGAAACCTCCTTCTGCGGGAGGTTGCAATGCAGTCAGCGCCTCGAGAGGCCTGCGTAGTCTCAAATGTGCCCTGTTCATTCATCGACCTGGAGAAAATCTGCCATGTCCCAGGTATTGAAGAAATTTATCTGTTTCAAGCCTCTTATCGCCCACATGACGACCAACAGGGCTTCTCGTAAAGTCTCGGAACGGTACTCAAGACAGACGACAGCCGCTGTCAGAATTTCCCAGCGAAGGAAAGTCACGAATATGATTGCCAAATCGGTCACCAGCTGGCTGAGCTTATGCAGCCATGCAGCGGGCCGATGAGGCCTCGCAAGCAGGCCTCGTCCGTATAGCTTCTGCTGCAGCGCACTCAACAGGCGACGTGCTGCGATGGTAGCGAGGTATAGTGCCAGAAAGTGTCTGAAAACTTGAACTGTGGTGAAGGAAGACTGCTCGACCTGGCACAGGCTCATGATATGCGTTTCAACTACCCTTTTTCGGTCCTTCGAGATGATAAACCTGAGAGCGAAGTCAACCCCAATCGACGTGAAGACCCATATCTTGGCATTGTATTGATATTGTTGGACATCTCGAAAGCGGAACCCGATTTCCCAGATAACGATAACGAGGAACGTGATGAAATCGGGCCAGAAGTCCAACACGGATGCGTCGATCACAGCGTATAGCTTCGGTAGGGCTGCGTGGTACGTTGTGTACACAGACTCAGCGAGGAAAAGGTGTATCCAAACTATATTCGCCATGGGTATCCATGGCGCGAAGTCGGACAGTATGAGAAGTTGGATAACCCTGAGAACTGTACTCTGCGTAAAAACCAGGTGTACCATGAAAGAGACGAATCCCACGTTGAAAATGTTTTGTGTCAGAAAATCTATAGGGTTGTCGTTTCGATTCTCTTCGAGGTAATCGTTAAAGCGACGTATCACCCCCCTGGGACCTAAAATCATGTCTGGCATGTTGGACCGTTGTTACATGTGTAGATCGTATTGTGCTGCATGAGTTAAGTGAGTTCAGGCTGATGTTTAATGGTGAATCTGGTTTAGACGCAAGGAATTTGGGTAAAGGTTGACTCTTTTCTCCGAAGTCATTGTGATTTACAAGGTTAAAGGATTTTCGTTGAAATCTCTGCCCAAAATTGATATGAGTTCCACAGAGGTTATTCGTCAAGGTGTTGTGTGAGATGAGCCTCTCTCTCTCCACGCAATCCTTGCACTTTTCGGGATTGACTGTGCCAAACATCTTAAGGATCAGATTAGATAATTTGTGTTTGGTTTAGATTGAGACTGTTTATAAGTTTGAAATATCCCTGTAACCGAATTTGAGTCTGATTTTGACGTCTTGAATAAAGAATTGGTGTTGAATGATGACAGAGAGGGTGACAGTGAAGAAGATGAAGATGGTGTTGAATTGGTTCGGTTCTGGTTGCGACGTGGCACGTGCACTAAGCGACTGAGCAGTGAGTTCTTCGCTCCCCCGGCTCCCCAATCTTTCTCCATCACCACTTGGACGATTCGGACATCACGGTTGTCGTTCCATCTCTTAGTGAAAAACGCTCAACTGCGATTCCGGAACGGATATTAGTTTTCTCTTGCTCGGCGAGAACACACCACTACCGCAAAGACCAGCTGAAAGCTAGCTGACGCTAATAGTGGAAATGGCACTGTCCGCGCTCACTGGTCTCGCTCGACCTTACTTTAGCCTGGAGATGAAGCAGCGACGCGACCCAGCTGGATGGTCTTCCTGACGGAATCACCCGCTACCAACTTGTCACAAGTGGCAGACTGGAAATTGTCTTGGGCTCGGCCTTTCGGTGAGGACTCCTGTGCCGCAGTCGACACGCGATTCTTCCTGCTGGCCCCTCTCACGTCTGTGAAGCCTGCCAAACTTGAACAGGCTACTGGACGTCGGCGGTGTCAAAGCAAGGTGCCTCATAGACAACATCGAAGACGCGCAACCAACTTGGGGATCGTGGTCTTGCAATCACGGCTTCACGGTTCACTCATGGCGAACCATTCTCCAACATGTGAATCTCGCAAAGTCGTTGCACTTCCAACGCCATGCTGTGTCGCATGCAACGAACTCAACCTGAACAACCTTCCAGCGCCATTGTGTCTTTTCTTAGCAACGTTCTTCGGTCTCCCTTTTCGGCATGGCTGCGTGAGTCTCCGCGGCAATTTGCAAGCGACTTCTAGCTCTCAGTCCTGTCCCTGGCGATTGGCCGCCACTGGAGCCATCACCGGAGACGGGCTGGGCAGCCACAAAACGGTTTACCCCTGACCAAATCTACTTGATTAGACTCTCGGGATGGCATCCGAATTCGACCTCGTTCCAGAATTTGGTCTTCGGTTCTGCTCTTCTCGATGAATTTGTCCCAAATGGTCGGTGAAGCGCCCGAGTGCCACAGGACCGGGCCGCGCTAAAAGTATCCGGGGAGGCGTTGTCTTCGTCAATGTTCAGACACCAAGAGAGCTAATTCGGGCCCAAGATTCTACACGGAACATGTTTACCAAGCCTAGATGTCATCTGTATACTTAAGAAGTCATGTCCCAAGTATGGCATTGGAACAGAGAGCCTCCTCTTCATCCCCTCTCTCGATCGTTCACTCATTCCATTGCGGTTTCGCAAACTCGTTCGTTTCTGTACTTACTCAAGCTTCAACCATGGGTAAACACATCCCTTTGCGCGGTCTCCTCGCTGCCGCCTTGGTGGCACTGGAGACCCGAACAGTAACGGCTATTCCTTTCAACGGACAACCTCGTGCTGTTACAAAGCCCGCAATCAGTGGATATACCTACCAAGGATGGTGCGTTACCCCCATTGGGGTTCTCTTGAGAGGTCTCAGCTAACGAAGTCAAGCTATGTCGAGCCCCCGAATGGCCGAGCACTTGAGGCCGTCACCGGTGATGACCAGATGACCCTTGAGATGTGTGCCGGCATCTGCTCAACCTCGAACAAGGTGTACTTCGGTGTGGAATACGGAAGAGAGTGCTGGTATGCTTACTTTGATGTCACCTTTGAGGTCGCCACTAACATGACCAAGGTGTGGAAACCAACTAGCTACGGGTGCTACCATTGCAGCAGACGATTCTGAGTGTTCCTTTCCCTGCCCTGGAAACACCGCCGGCGGCGAGACTTGCGGAGCCGGTGATAGACTCAACCTCTACAAGAACGACAACGCAGTGGTTCCTGCCGGCCCTTCTGCCAAGGCGAATGCTGGCAACTACGTCTCCGCGGGCTGCTACAGTGACCTCGTGCAAGGACAACGCGCCTTGTCAAGATGGCGTGCCGACGATGCCATGACACCAGAAATGTGTGCGACCTTCTGTGCCGGTAGTGCATACATGGGCCTGGAGTTTGGTTAGTTTACTACACACAATATTTGTCGCAAATGCGCTAACAAGTTCGCAGCAAGGGAATGTTGGTGTGGCGACGCCCTCGACACGCTCAGTCAACGTGTGCCCGATCAGACGAGTTGCAACATGGCTTGCGCAGGAGAAGCAACCAGTCTCTGCGGTGGCCCCGGACGCCTGAACATGTACACTCTGAACGCTGCCTCCGTGGTCTCGGTGACGAGCTCAGCTTCAGCCAGCGCAGCCACCACGACCGCCGACCGAGTGGGAGACTTTGTCCATCTCGGATGCTGGACCGATGAGCGTGTGAACGGCAGAACCTTCCCCGATACCTTCGCTTCTGATGATATGACCATCGAGAAGTGCGCAGCTTGGGCTACCTCGAAGGGCTACCAAAACTTTGGTGTCGAGTACTCGCGCGAGTGCTGGGCTGGCAACGCTGTGAACCCGGCTTCTACTTCCGCCGATGCTTCAGGCTGCAACATGAAGTGCATGGGCGATACCAGTGAGAGATGCGGAGGTCCCGATCGACTGGACCTCTACAGCTTCAGCCCAGTCACGTCTTCGGCTTCTTCATCCACCACAGCTTCATCTTCAAGCTCGGACTCTGTAGCCTTTTCATCGACATCAACCACAGATGCGTCACCTACGCCTTCAACTTCTCCATCTACCTCAGCTACCTCTCCAAGCTCGGATTCTGGAGTCATCTCGTCAACATCAACCGTCGATGCATCGTCTACATCTCCGACGTCTTTGTCTGCTACTCCATCTGACACAGCTTCATTCTCAAGCTCGGACTCTGGAGTCATCTCGCCAACATCGACCGTAGATGCATCTTCTACGTCTTCAACTCCTCCGTCTGCCGCTCCGTCTGTCGTAGCTTCATCTTCGAGCTCGGATTTTGGAGTTGTCTCATCAACTTCAACCTCATCGGATCTTTCATCTACGTCTTCCAACACTGTCCCCGCCTCTGCCAGCCCTACGTCGACTTCATCCGATGTGGTATCAGTGGCATCAACCGCAGGCGCATCATCTGCGTCATCTGATACCGTTCCTACTCTTTTGAGTGCCACATCGCCTTCATCCGATACGATATCGACAGCACCTGTTGATCCTACTTCCTCTAGCAACGGCCCAATGTCGTCTTCGACCCTGCCATCAGCTAGCTCTGCTCCAAATGACGCCACCCTGCCTCACGCAGTCAGCGCTCAGTTGGCCAATGCCACGGTTGGAGACAATGCCCAGCTTGTGGTCGTTGATGGGAACACCGCCATGTAAGTCTCATGAATCCTGACCTTTCGAGCAGCGCTGACAGATCGAAGTGCCATGAGACCGCAGCCCAACAGCAACGCCACATTCACTGTCGCCGCTACGGCCGCTCCTGATGTCCAGCCCAGCGATGCTGTTGTTGTGCAGCTGACCTACAAAACCGATGCCTCTCCCACCGCGAAGCGTGCGGTAAAGCGCGCGGTTCTGTCGGAGTGCACCTTGACGATGATAATTGGGAATACAGTCATTTACTCAAACAGGATCTGGACTACCGATGGAAGCTACACAACAGTCACGAGCATGCCTACGAGCTCGGGTTTGACGAATCTGGTCATTGTCCAGTACTGCCCTGCCACTACTACTCCGATCACCATTGCCAACATTGCTGTTGCGCCCGCTTCGGCAGCAAATTCGAGCTCAGGCACAGCTACCGTCATCGCCTCCTCCACCGTGATAACGATATCAACTTTAACTCCGGTCACGACCTTCACTTCGACGAGCACCTCTTCGCCTCCAAGTGTGCCAGCTATCACTCCGCCAACAATCTTGGCAGCCACTACAACGGGGTCTACAACATCTTCAGGTTCCGTGACGCCTAGCTCCACAAAGTCTACCCGGCCCGGCATCACGCCATTCTCATGGATTCCGACCCTCGCGGTGCCGACTACGGTCACAGAGACCAACTGCCCTTATCCGACAGCTGCCAACTGGTACACAGCCGGTTGTACTATCTCGGGAGCTCCGCTCCAGCTTTCCGGTCTTGTCGCTGTTGCCACGGGTGTCCCCGCCCCGCCGGCTCAGGCAAATACCAACCAACCCTTCGAAGCCGCGTACCAAGCTTGTGCCCAGATGTGTGCTTCAATGTTCAACTGCTACAGCTGGGCCCTTGACCGAGGCTACTGGCCCACAGATTCCTCACCATGGACATGTTATTTCTACTCTGCAGGTGCTAGGTTGTTGACCCCCTCGAACCAAGGCCAGAATTGGATCGTGTGGATGGATAAGAAATGCTACGACTGCGGGAATCCCTCCGCGGCTGCTTCCTCGACAACTCCCTCAGTATCCTCTTCTTCTAGCGGCAGCTTGACTGTTCTCGCCGCCGCTGGCAGCAGCACTACTTCCAGCACAAGCACTCCCTCCAGTAGCAGCGCTTCGTCAACCGTCTCTGCAACATCAGGACCATCAGCAACAGCGACATCTTTCACTACAACCTCCGCACCGTCAGGTACAGTGACGACCTTTTCCGCTCCGCCACTGCTCACACCCTGCGGCGCACCAACAGCCGCTCAGTTCTACACCAACGGTTGCATTCAATCAGGCTATCCAACCGCGACTTCCGCCCTCCTTGCCGTCGCGACAGGCATTGCGCCCAACGCTGCTGGTGACTTCAACTTCGACCCTGTGTACCAGCGCTGTGCCAGCATCTGCGCAGGACTGACGGGCTGCCAGGGATACGCTCTCGATCGCACCAGCACCGCGGAGTGGAACTGCAATTTCTACAGCCTGCCCGTCAAAACACTGTTGAGCAGCCTCACGCCCTCATCAAACTACCGCGCCGTCGTCTGGAACTCCCTGCTTTGCTACAACTGCCCCGTTCCTGCACCGATTGTCTCTTCACCCTCTTCATCTTCGACATCTTCCCAACCGCAGTCGGCGGCGTCTTCGGGCAGTACAACAAGCCCATCCTCAACGGCACCGTCCATTACGTCCACGCAAAGCACGGCATCGCCCAGCGTCTCTGCCGCCGCAGTTTCAGCAGCCTGTGTCCGCGCAGATGCGCCGCTTGCAGCCGCCAACTGCAATGTCAAGGGCTTCCATCAGCCTGGCAACTCGACACAAAGCACGAACGTCTATGCTCAAGCTGATTGTGCCGCCTACTGTCTTAGCGTGGGAGCAGCTTGCAAGAGTTGGACATGGGTTCCGGCCTCCGGATTATGTGGTATCTATAGCTTGAACGTATGGGATGCCATTGGTGACTCGGCCGTTGCAGGACGGGCTTATAAGGACAACGTGATGGACGAGCCTGGTTGCTGGACCTGCCCGACAGGTGTGACGGTTCATTATGTTCCTGTTTAATTTGAGAGGGGTGATTGAGATGCGAATGTAGAATTCAGATAAGAAGTATCATAGAAGAATCAATAATGTTCAGATATAAGCCAGCAACAGTACATCGTTGTACTCGGAGACCTTGTAAGACGTAATGCTCCATCAACTGGCAGCTTCCTAGTTCCAGGTTAGTAGTTACACTAATACCGCACACGGTAGACATCGCCACAACACCCGACAAGCACGTACAGTATATTCGGCGATCGTCCGGGAGACGGCAATAAGCCGCAGTTGTCGTTCCTGATCACGGCTGCCTGGATGACGGGACTTTCACCGTCGGCCAATACATGAGCTCAGTGAAGCCCATGTGCAAACCAACTGAAATTCCTCCGCCGTCCACGAGCGGGCCAAGAAAACGAGACGGAACATTCGGATCGGCGGACGGTCCTAGCCGCCCTCTGCCGCGGAGGATTCTGCGGCTATGCGTGGTGGGTTCCGGACTGTCGATCTTTCAGAAACAGGGAAACACACGCAAGCATCACCTCTCCACCGGGTCGCACAGGTGTTCTGCAGGCACCATCATTGTCTACTCTGTGGTTGGCCTTAGCGGCTGACTGTGGGCCAGGTAGAGTTGCAGTTGAGGCTTGTTCCTGTCAATCAACTGCCGAGTTTACTTGCACTTTTCAGCTCTCATCGCTCGACGTAAGATCTAATGCAATGCTGGAGCCGCAATCCGTCCTCGGGTCTTGCTCGGGACTTCGATCCGTCAATGAACCCGTATCACATCTTACCCCATCGTTGTTGGCGTTGAGTTATGGTTCAACTTCGTAGTTGCAATTCATTCAGAGTCCTTCTTTATACTTCATTGGTACTTCTTCATAAGGATTCGTCTGCTACAGATGATTAATAGGCTCTATCATGTAGAAATCTGAGGTTATTTGACTCCATTGCCACCCTAGGTCTGTGAGTTGAAGGGAGGCACGAGCCGTAAGTTTGATAGATGCAAAAGAGCCCCAAGGAATAATCAAACACCAGGCTGTCTGAGCACGGAGTCGATGTTGCCACCAGGCTTCGGAGACATATTTCACGATCATGCTATTATCAAATCGCTCTCCCGTACAATCGCATTCTGGCAGTGGACCATAAACTGGGTATATAGTTCCTTCAGTGGACCATGGAGCCGAGTTCATCCCATGGGGTTTGTCCCGCCCTCGTTTTCTGCCCCATTGTATGCTATTCCATTGAGATCGTCGATGACTTTGCTCCAGTTTTCCCATCCGAGGTGGCAGGTTTACTCATTTGAGCAATGTCTGAGTTGGACTAGGCAACAAAGAACCTTCCTTCGGCGGAGGCCAACTCCGTACAGGAGCCAGTGACCTAGTTGAGTTGAGAAACAGTTCGATATCGTGATATCATCTCACTGAGTCTCAAGGACTTCTGAAAGACTGGGGTCATCATCCTTCGAAGTTGTCAAGACTCAACACAACTATAAAGACCTTCATCAAGCCACAGACAAAAGGGTATTCCTCACAACAACTCTACACTCTTCACTCTTCAACCAACCTCACTACAAGCAAACACAGTCATACCACACTCAAAAACGTAACCATCACAATGTCTTCCATCCGCAACCTCTTCCTCGGGCTCTTGAGCATCTCCGCCACCGCCTACGCCGAGCACCTCCGCGTCGTCTTCTCCTCCGGCAGCTTCTCCACCATCAGCGGCCCCAGCGGCGGTTCCCAGAGCGGCGGCTACAAGGGCTTCGCCATCATCAACGACAACGGCGAGGCCATCTACGACCAGGCCTACCCCGACGACCACTCCCCTTGCTACAACACCGGCGGCGGCCGCACCTTCACCATCGAGGGTGACTGCTGGGACACCCCTCGCGTCTTCCACTGCGAGTCCGACTTCGGCGGCATCCCCGAGTCCTGCGACGTCAGCACCTCCGACGGCACCCAGCTCGGCAGCGGCACGCAGAAGAAGAACACCGACTTCATCGGTATCGCCATCGGCATCGACGGCAGCTGCGCCGTTGAGTTCGAGTCTGATGGGCCCGGCTGCCCTGTTGATGATGGCAACGGCCCCCTCCACGTCACCAAGGGTTAAAGTTTTCGCCTGATTCGACATTGGAAGAGAAACCCAGATGTTTCGTGGCTCGAGATGATGGATTCGTCATTCTGGGAAGGATATGGGCTGTCGGCATACGTGAGGACTTTAGTTGTCATTGTAATTATCTTACTTTCAGTCGTTGCTTCCTTGCATTACTTGAAGGATAGCCCTTTCTCAATTGAAACTCGCAAGACATTTGCATGAACATAGGAGTTTGCGGCTTGCATAATCTGGCTGTATAGGCCTCATTTCTCTCGACCGAGGGTGAATGTGACCGACAAACGTTCTCTCTGCTCAACAGTCTCAAAAGGCTTTTCTCTTCAGAGCGATTAATTACTTGGTGATCCATGTAACTAATGACGAGAAGCTAAAAAATGGCTGCTGAGGCCTTTTCCCGCGTCTCGGAGCGCGAGGACAGCCTGCCACAGAGGTGTCAAGTGAAATCTACCTCGTAACAGAGACCGGATGCCGAACATAGTGACAACAGGCAGCCCGACGAATGCAGTGAATGCAAAGAGACCAAGATCCAAGTTACGCACCTTCCACCACGGCATACGCATATCCGCAGTCTGAAGATGCATAGGCCGCTCCGGGCTGCGCAGCTCATGATCAAACATCACTTCCTCAATCAAGTCAGCGGCGAGGCCCTTCCTGCGAGAAGCCACTGTGGCAACACGCCTCATACGCTCGACGTTGCGCATGAGGGCATCATTACCACTATTGACGAGACTGGAAACGCTCCTAGACACCTCGTTTGCCGTGAAGGTGGTCTTGTCGAGTCGCAAACCACATCCGGCTTCCTCGAGACGCAATCCGTTTGCGAGCTGGTCGAACATGAAGCCCAAAACCAGAACGGGGACACCGTGGTACGCGGCTTCGTTGGCCGATGAACCGCCGGCGTGGGTGAGATACAGTCTCGTGTGACTGTGATCCAGAATGGCGCGTTGCGGTGCGAAGTCGGGTGTTAGGAAGTCAGGCATTGCGTCATCCAACACTTGTCTCAACGTGAAGACCTTTCCGTCAGCGCGGGATACGAGGTACTCCAAGTCGAGCGTTTTGCGTGTCTTCTGATTCAACGCCCATATAACACCATCGATGTGGCCCTCATCCAAAGCGAGTACCAGACCTTGAAGCAGCTTGTGCAGGCTGGGCTCCGGCAGCACGACGTTGGTACCCAGGCCAACGTAGACAACGCGATCGTGAGACTCGAGAAATCGAGCATGTAGCTCGTCAAGCGCCGGGTACTCCTCTGACAGAACAGGTCCAATCGGAGCCACGAGCGGCGGTAGATCCTTGGGTGCCTCGAGGCCGAAGAAGGAGTTCACAAGCACGAGATGATGCGGACGGTTGCCGCCGGGCAGGACAGGAAACCGAGCGCCCTCTCGACGCCGTAGTTCCGTGAACCAGCGCGTCCATCTCAGAAACTGAGGCGCCGCCCATACAACAGCCATCTCATTCCGTAGGCGCGACCAGAGAGACGCGCGCTCCGAGGTCAGGCACAGGTCGATCTGGAACCCGGGCTGGCCGGGGATGTAAGAGGCGGGCGCGAGAAGGTACGGCATCTGCGGCCAGACGACGGCGATGGGCACGCCGCACTCGATGCTCATGTCGCGGGCGACGGTCTCGTCGAAGAAGTCGGCGACGATGAAGTCCGGACGCGTCTCGGGGTCGCGGCAGAGCTGCTTCAGCTGGCGGTACGCGGCCGGCCAGAACGAGTCCCAGAGGTATTTGGACTTCCACATGAGGCTGCTGCTGAGGGCCTCTTCGACGGGTAGTCGCACCATGCGCTCCCAGTGGTCGGCGTATTGCTCGGGCGTTGGCCCGGGGCCGAGGAGGTGGACTTTGTTGATGAAGGTGTAGTTTGGGTTCTTCACCCAGACCTCCTGGCCGTTGTGTGTTGCGAACTCCACGGTGTGACCTCGATCGGCTAGAACACGGCAAATGTCCAAGACTGGAGCTGAAGATGCCGTCAGATCATGTCCTGGCGGAAGATGTGGTATACTAACCTGCATGAGTGAACCCGCCGGTCGTCGACAACGCCAGCACGCGCCTTGTGGGCAAGTCATGGCTCTTGATCATTGTAGACATCTTTTCTCAAAGTCTATCACTGAAAGAGAAGATGAGAACGAGATCGTGTGAGATAATTGACTGCACAGGAGAGCATGGCTGATGGTGTAAGTTGCGGCGCAGACGCTGGCAGTCGTACGATATTACGGATGGCTTCTCCGAGACTCGGCCCAGGTGGGATATTTACGCGGACGGTCCAACGATCTTGCTACAAGATGCAGACAGTGAATCAGTTCTGGTCCTCAATCTAGTATTTCCAGTTTCTACGATGCTTTCCGCCGCGGAGTGCTATCCGAAGGGCATCTGTCAAGCTGGCGCTGCCGCTCTGAACCCGGATAGACATTGGTTCCGAATCAAATGATTCATCGCGAACTCAATCTGTCTCACGAAGACAGGAAGAAAAGGACAGAAGTCGCATAGACACGTATGAAGTCTTCTGTATCGACGTTGGAGCAGCATACTCCAGTAGGTATCACCAGTCTAAGTAAGAAGAAAACATTAGTAGCCTAAGTTGAGAAGGGCCAGTTAGACTTTGCCACAAGGTTTCTTCATCTGATGTGAGACCGAACCCAAACCCCAACCGTTGACCCTCATGAATATTTCGATGATTACCTACGACTTCAAAAAAGGAGGCATCAGAGTGACAAAAAAGATCAAAAAACATACAACACCAGGTATTCGCTGGTCGTCACCGACCCAACTACTAATCCGGCCCTCACTACTCTTACCTATGGGCAGCTATCGTCTTGAGGTTGAAGCATGTTACCATAACCAACGAACGATGGCTGTCCCAAAGTAAGCGTCTGGGCGGAATAACCTTAATACAGCCCGAAACGGACGGTCACCGTAATCCTCTACTAGCTCCGTTTAGCGACGTTTCGTCCTACCTTTTATTGTGACACACCCTTGCCCCCTGAATTCAAGCCACACACCACCACCATTACCTCATCGGCTTTTCTAATTCCTTGTTTTTCAACTTTCTTTCCCTTCCTTCCTAATGAGCGGGCGCGTAACGCCTTTTCAATTATAAGATCTCGCTTCCTTAAAACTTGAATTCGACATCCCGGTAAACGCCGCATTAGCCGGCCGTCGGTCTGTGACATAGCGGAGCATCAGCGTCGGCGGGCCTGTCCGGCTCCAGCCTTAGCCAAACCGCCCAATGGAAGTTGGCACACCCGAGCGCCTGGTTTTCATCGCGTGCCGCCAGGTGTAAGCAGCATCGTTGTGAGTATTAAGACTACAGCACCAAAGCTCTACTTAAGGCGAGTTAATCCTCCTCCTGCCTCGTAAGTGCTACTGTCACTAAACATTATCGTTCCTTTTTTCTGTTACCCTTCATGGCCTTGGAATCTATTGAGCTTCTGCCCGTGGCACAAAGTACTAAATTAGACAGGCAGCAAGTAGTCTACGCCGTTGGGTACTTGTTACGGCCAGCTAACTGATAGTGGGTTTGTGTTAGAAGTAAGTTAGGGATTAACAATAGTAATAGTTAATATTTATTCTATAGGTTTTTAGTTAAATAATTATAGGTCTTTAAAGGACTTAATAATTAGTTAAGGCCTCAATAAGAGTTATAGAGTAATCATCACTTAGGTATAGCTAAAAGTATTATGAGTAATAATCACAAGTTGATTGCTAAAGAGCTATAGAAGTCTGTACTTAAGCGGACTTAAGTCTATCCTATATATAAGTCCTGAATAGTCCCTTTACCCCTAGGACCGACATCTCACCGTTGGTCCTGTTAGATGGACCGCCCTTGGAACGTCGGTCCTAACCCTGGTCCTATCTGGGACCGCTTATCAAAAGTCGGTCCCTCTTATCATCACGTGACCTGTACCATAGTTCTTCCGTTCCCGAGGGAACCCCGCGTGTTCCCGTGATCCTGCATACAAAGGTGCTGTCCTAACCGCCTAGTATCTTAGTGGGGCGTTCTTTGTTAGTTATGCCTAACGGGTCGTAACAGGGACCTAGGCTCTTAGGAGGGATGGTGAGCGTTAAGGTCCCTAGCTATAAGGGATCCCTCTGGTGGGCTATAGGCTAGGAGGGTAGTAGTTATATAGTTAGAGGGATTCCCTAGCTGCCTATAGATATTTATAAGCGTCAACCTATTAACCTTAACCTATGTTACGGCCAGCTAACTGACAGTGGGTTTGTGTTAGTAGTAAGTTAGGGATTGAGAACTATAAATAGTAATTAGTTATTTTATAGGTCTAGTTGAGTAATTATAGGTCTTTAAAGGTCTTAGTGATTAGTTAAGGCCTTAATAAGAGTTATAGAGTAATTATTACTTAGGTATAGCTAAAAGTATTGTGAGTAATAATTATAAGTTGATTGCTGAAGAGCTATGGAAGTTTGTCCTCAAGCGGACTTAAGTCTATCCTATATATAGGTCCTGGGTAGTCCTATTGCTGGGTGCTGTATATGCCCTGTATGGCTCCCGTATCCTTGGCATACGGCTTCCGTCTCCTTGGCATACGGCTTCCATCTTTCTGGAATACAGATGCCGTATCTTGATCATATAGATCTAATCTCTTATCTTATCGTTATGTAACCTATACTATAGTTCTTCTATTCCTAAGGGATCCTTATGTGTTCCTATGATCCTATATATAAATATGTTGTTATAACTGCTTAGTATCCTAGTGGGGCGTCCTTTATTGGTTATGCCTAATGGGTTATAATATTAGGTCCCCTCTTTAAAGGTCTAATCCCTTAGACTAATATAAGTAGGTAGTATCTCCTAGGTTGGGGAGGTATTAATTATGCTTCCTAATCTCTATAATGCTAATACTATATTAGGTTGTATTTAAAAATTAAAAGATTTAAAATCTATTCTTTATTCTACTTATAATGACGTATTTAAGCGCTTTAGTTCTTCTAACGTTATGCCCTATACTTACTATTTCTAGGCGAAGCGTCCTTATTATATAGTAGAGGGTTTAAAGGTCTATTATAGGTATAAGAATTTAAAGCGTCTTTATAATAGACTAGTTATTACGTTAAGCTATAAGTCCTATTATATCTTTCTTTATAGGCTGCTTCTAACTTATTATAGTGAAGCGTCTTAGTGACTAGCGTTAAGAGTGGGAGGAAAAGGAGGAGTAAGCTAGTGATGCTCTATTGGCGCTCTATAAGAAGCTTACTTAGGTGTAATTAGAGGTAGCTAATATAGCTAGTTGTTTAGCTTATATTTATACAACTTAGAAGTTAATTAAGGAGCGTTATATAGAGACGTTTGCTTAGGGGATATAGGAACTTAAGGAGGCTGATGACGTTCTTCCTATATTAGATGCTCATAAGCGATACGTTATAGAGGATCTTTAGGCTAGAGGTGTTAAGAACGACCCTTCCTGGACTAAGTTCAGGATTGGGGAGGAGTTTGTAGACTTAGGTCCCTTGCTTAGTGATACTCCTGTAGTAGCTGCTGGGAGTGCTGGAGGTTCTTAATGGGTTCCCATGAGTTATCTTTATGTCTATACCCCTTCTATTTAATGAGGTATTCTATATTTCTATTGTTTTTATGGTAGTTAATAATTTATTTAACTTTATATTCTGGTTCTAGTGGTTCTATAATGATGCAGTCTTCTATATATAAACCTACTAGTGCTTTTTTAAGAAGTGAAATATAAAAGACTAGATAATACTTTATAGTATCTAGTAGTATAAGTTTAAAGTTAACGTTAGATACCTTCTTTATAATCTTAAAAGGTCTAAGTTTCTTAAAGTCTAACTTATTGCTTAGTCGTTTTATCTTAATGTTTTAGTAGAGAAGGTATATACTATCTCCCTCCTATAGAGTTAGTCCCTTAACTCTTAAGGTGTTAGTATATTTACGTATTTATTTGTGTATGAATTTAAGTTCTCTAGGTAGCTCTTGCTAGATTTCCTTAAGTTTATTAATATCTACTATAGCTTTTAGAGCTGCTAGGCCTTGTTGTGGTTCTCTATAGGCTATTAGGTTAAATCTATAGTTTAGATAGAATAGTGATTCTTTTATACTTTCTCCTATTGCGCTATTGTAGGCAAACTGGGCTATAGGTAGTAGTTAAACCTAATTATCTTATTAGTAGTTAATATAGCAGTATAGATAGGTTTCTATGATCTAATTAATTTGTTCTATTTAGCTATTAGTTTATGGATGAAAAGTAGTAGATATTTTATAATTAAATCTAAGCTATAAGATTAGGGATCTCTAAAACTTGGAAGTAAATAACTTATCTCTATTAGACATGATTTCCTTTAGCGTTCTATATTAGCTAATAATTATCTATAGAAACTTATAAGTGAGGTCTTCTATAGTGCTAGACTCTATATATAGGATAAAGTATAAATACTTTATAAGTCTATTAATAATAACTAGGATACTATTATAGTGGACCTTAGTTATTAGTTCTTAGGACTTAGGTAACTTAGTAATAAAGTCTAATGAGATAGATTCCTATGCGGTTTGTAGCACTAGGAGCAGCTATATCTTACTATAAGGCTAATATTAGCTAGGTTTACTTTTTGTGTAAACCTCATAGTCCCTAATTGCTAAAGATACTTTTTATTATATAGCCGTTTTGTTATGGTATTATCTAATGCGTTTCTATGTCTTAGTTACGCCTTGGTAGCTATATGTAGGAGCAGAGTGTATCTCCCTAATAGCTTCAGGAGACATCCTTCTAGTTATGCTAGTATTATCTCTTCTAGCTATTATTAAGAGTCTGGCTGCTAGCATAAGGTCTCCTTCCTTGTCTTTTTTGAGGATAACTTGGGTTTCCTTAGGTACCTGGACTTTATGGTCCAGTCTTCTACTGAGAGCGTCTACTCTTCCGTTTTCTTTGCCTTTCTAGTAGATAATCTTAAAATTAAATTCTAAGAGGAATTTAGACTATCTAATTTATTATTTATTAAGCTCTTTTAATATTATAAAGTGGGTAAGGTTCTTATAATTAGTATAGATTTTAACTTTATACTTTATTCCTAATAGTTAAGGTCTCTATTCCTTAAATACTTTAATAATTACTATG